CATCTCAACTGTTGATGCTGCGAACAAAGTAAATCCCATCTTCAGTCTGTTCTCTAAAAAACGTCAATTTATCCAGCGTGTAGATATAGTAGTATCTAAAAAAAAGAGTGTCCTTGACCTATGAAACGCCATTCGCGCACCAAGAATGCCAGCCGCCCATTCTCTAAAAAACGAAGCGAACCAAAGAAAAGAGGAAGAAACACACACACACACAAAAGAGCCGGCCTTTCTATCCCCCATCCTGTAATAGTAATGGCACAGTAGCCCATTGGGAACCTTAATTGACCATAAACGCCGTGCTTCTGCCCTCAAACGCCGTAATCTCGCCGTCAATGGATTTGGCATCGCCAAAGTAGCAAAGTCTGTATTCGCCCGGCGTCGTCCACTCCTCAATCTCCCACGAAATGGTCGCGGAGCTGGTGCCCATCATCACGCTGCTTCTCTTCCACTGGTATACCAGTTTCCAGTCCGAGTCGTCTCGCACCACTGTCCATTCCGTCTCGCCGGGACGACGGTACTCGACGGCGGCAAACGTCTCTTCCAATCGCAGGTTGTTTCGCGGGTTGGCTCCAACAAATGTTGCCGTTACCTTGTCCCCCAGGGCAAACCGGCTCTTGTCGACGTCAACAATCACGTCTCCAAATTGTTGAGATTGTGATGTGCCGTCAAACAAGACGCCCGTGTTGAAGCCGTAGGATCGGTCACTGTTATCCGGGGGCAAGGGGCCGGTCTCTCGGGAATCGGCTTCTCCACTGGGGGCATCATCTTTTAAGAGATAAAGCAGTGCCTTGGTCCGATCTATGTAGGCCGCAAGTGTGTGTGGGCCGTACAGGGTTGAGGCTCCCTCATATCGCTGGATCCTGTGAGTTTTGCGTGTCAGCATTGGCCAATCTCAACAAGGCAAGGGGAATAAACGTACCCGTATTCCTGCTCTGTCGTGATATAGTGAGTATAAGTGTTGCTCGGCCCTCCAAAGACCACAATGGGCTCTTTGCCGTCCAGCTCCTCTGCTAATTGAATCTTGCTGCTCTCTGCAACTGCCTCTTTCCATCGTCTACCGGCCATCGTGGTCGCCTCTCCGGGGCTGACAACGATGATGAATTGGCCAACTCTAAACGTCTGAATGTCTACAATGTCTGGCGTCCAGTGATAGGGCTTGTGCGTCTTGCCGACGTTGAAGAGGATGGGCTTGGGGGCGTGGCACTGTATCTGCTCAGGGCCGGGAGCTCCGATGAGCCATCGTATGGCCTTCCATTTGGGAGATGAGTTTGTGTCGTTGTGACCAGACTGCGTAATTTCATAATGGCCCGGTTCGTCCCACGTCCCAGCTGCGAAAGAATAGCCCAATGCCGCCGAACACGTGCGGACGGTTGAGCCGTTGGGCAGCTGAAACTGAAAGTCGGACATGTCGTGAAACCGGTGAAATGCCTTGACGCCCGACCCCTTTATGTTTGGCTGCTGGGTATCCATCGAGGTGTAGAGCTCTAGAGCTGCCTCGTACTGCTTCTTTCCAATCTCGAAACACGATGCAGCCCCCTCATCCTTTTCCGTAAAGAAGGGACCTCTCGCGTGGCACTTCCTACTCCTGCCAGTGCTCCTACAAGAGCTCGTCTTGAATTCGCACGGCTCGCCTGTACCATCGTCACACCAGCCGCCAAGCGTATTGGGGCTTGCATCACCCACGTTGGCCTGAGAAAAGCCGGCAACAAAATCGTCCGTCTCTTGGACGCCTCGGCGAACTCTTCTCTCAAAAAGATCCGCGGCCACGCCCTTGTTGTCTCCTGTGATGAGAGTGTTGTTGGCCAACATGGATGTTCCATGGGTTGGGAACCATGTCAACACGCCGATATTCTTGCCGTCCGATGCTCTCCTGAACTTGAGCAAAGTCAAGTCCTTCTCCACCGAACCATCGTCTTCCGCGCTGACATTGTACTTGGCCCTCTCCTCTTCGGGGTTGGCGAGATAGGCGTAGAGGCTTCGGTTGATGTTGGCGCCAAAGACTTTGGTGGTGCCTGCGGTGAGGGTGCCGGGTTCCAAGCTCTCGTGTGCGCGGCGGATGGACAAGAGGCAGCCGTCGACAATCGCCTGGTAGCTCTGCCTGTCGAACCCTTTGCTGGTGATCTGAGGTAAGAGGTAGTTGAGCCAGGCGCCGGGCCCGGAGTGAGAGTGGGTCGCCGTGACGGCCAAATTGTCATGCCCATACATGGAGTATTCGGGGCCTAGTTCCTCTAGCCCCCGGAGAATGCCGTATCGCACGGCGGTGTCACCAGCCTGTGTATCCAGGACGAGGTAGATGAATCTGTCTTCGGGCTGACCAAGATCGCCCACGATGAACGCGCGAGAGTACAGGCGCTGACGCACGCCGCTGCCGACCTGCTCGGTATTGGCATAGCCCATCATGTTGATCTCGACAACAGGCCCCGTGATGTCGGCCTTGCCCACGCCGATGAGGTAGTGGCCATCTACAGCGCCGCCGGACATGGCGAGGGCCTGTGCCTTGCCCTCGCTCCCTAGCCTTTGCTGCTGTTTCTGTCCATGATACTGCTGATGCTGATGCTGCCCCTCATGAGGCTGTTGCCGCTGCAGAGCCGCCAGCTTCCTGCCCACGAGCTCATCCTGTATCCGCTGCGGGATATCTGCGCTGTAGATGGCGCCGGGCACCGTGGCCCAGCTAAAAGCACGAGAGACGGCCGTGAAAAATGCGAAGACGACGACAAGAGTCATCACCAGCCACTTGGCATAGTGACGCAAGCCTCGGCGCGGCCCGTTGCCACTGTGTTTCCCGCGCGCCAGGTCCCGCGGAACCGCAGGCGACTCTGGCGGAGGGCCTTTCTCTGTAACTTGGCCTGAAGCCATTGGTTTGCCGAACGGTAAAAGCTGCTTTCAGGTCGGGGTAAAAATTAGAATTACAATGAATTGTTCTAAATCCAAGATACCGAGATCGGTGGCGTTCAAAAGACACAAGCCAGGGCCCGGGAGGCGAAATCTTAAATTTCGTTCAAACGCTCCTTACGTAAGGAACTTTTCCATGTGCCGAAATCTCATTTCTTTTGAATGCTTTCTCGGGCCATTTTCGTTCTCTGTTCTCAAGCGAGCTCGGTTGCCAGCTGGCGGATGGACCGGAAGCCGCGGGCAACGGGCAAGGCCTTGGTGTTTTGTACGTGCGTCGTTTGCAGTGATGAGCCTCCTATATCGTGGAGAAGCCGATGAGCCGAGCAAACGTCTTAAGAGGACCGTTGGGCGTGGAGACGTTTCTGGGGTCACGGCATAGGTTATTTATGCTTCTTACATTTGCTGTTCCGCTGCGGGTGGGAGACAATACATGGGCATCCGTGCCCTCGAGCCGCACACATGAGCGCATGCGGAAACCCTCAACATGGCGCATGTATCGTCCTTCAAAGTCCCTGATGCGGCCAGAGAGGATTGGATTTGGCGTGAGACAAACGGCCTAGAGGCTGAATGGGGGCGAGCCAATTAGCGGCCGTCGAACCCCGGCCGTTGGTTCGAGACAGACAGAAAGCGGCATTGCCCGCGTTGTTGGGGGTCTTGAAGCTGTGTCAGCCGCCTTGGGCAGATCTGGTGGCATGATGCAGCCGGAGTCAGCTGGTATGGATTGTATGTTAGCGGGCAGCGTTCATAGGCTATATAGCAGTCGCGGTTCTTCTCATCGTGACCAGCCGAGCAACCCTCTTTTTCCTCTTTTTCCTCTTTTTCCTCTTTTCCTCTTTTCCTCTCAGTCTTTCTCCCCCTTGGAACATCCATCTCCAACGATGCTTCTCTGTCTCTCGGTCTCTCCTCTTTCTCCCTAGGTAGTGGACACCAATACTACATACTCCGTATCTGATGCTCCCTATCTACGGTTACAATCGGACTTTTATTCCTCCCATTGCCGAACGCCGCGCTCATTTGCGGTGCTGATGACGTGACGATGCGGGGGCTGCGTGAAAGGCGCTCCGGCGGGATGAGATGATACTTTGGGAACTACCGAGCTCGAATGGAGGCAAAGCACGGCTGCATTAGCCATGGATTGATTGATTGATCGGTCATACTACATACGGAGTACAGGTAGGAGGATTTACCCCATGAACAGGCATCGCCTTGCTGGGCTGGCCCAGGTCATGTGAGCTCCAGCTCTACTCCAAAGACCAAAGGGCACGCAGAAGCCCGTCTCTGCGCTAAGAGAGCGATTTTGACATGTGAAACTTGAATTTTTTTCTTCTTCTCCCTCTCCCTGCTTCACCCTGCTCTGATACCGCGTCTCAAGAGCCATCAACCAGCCAGCGGTTCAACTGCCATCGCGTCGGTTCAACTGTCATGCCTCTCGCCCATAGCCTCTGACAAGTGGATTTCTAAGCCTTTCCGCAGGCGATCCGAGCGAAATAGACGTCCGTTGGCCGAGCCTTCGCCCAATTGGGCTCTAGGATCGAAGCACACAATCGCGCATCTCCGCCAATCGCCGCCACGTCCACTCACACGGATCGCTGGATTGCGACTTTTAATCTTTTCTAATACTCCTTATCTCCACGATCAAGACCCTTTTCTTCCCCCCCAAGCCCCAAGCCTCTTCTGTTCCTTTGCTGGAGCCTCGTCCATGATGGCTTGAGAGTTTGTTGCGAGTCTTGGTTCCCAATTCGCCACCTCTTTTTGTCGTTGACGTCTTGCATCTCGCATTCGGTCGGTGCAAGTTCGGAAATGGTTCGACGCTTCCCAATCCAAAGACACAGTCAGTGACACGACGATACTCACAAGGTCCCGTCGCTACTTTCGTTGTGAAGCCCAGGGCGCGTCATTGTGGCCGGGGCTGTCAGGATTGTGCGCGGTTTAAAAGCTCCATCGCTTTCGGCGGTTACTGGTCTGACTGACGGGATTATCTGGTTTCGGGGGTCCTTGTCAGCAGAATCCCAACATCGAAAGCGGAACCGCAGAAACTCGTCTCTGTTTCCCTACTCTTGTTGTTCATCACCGGCTCATCCTGCTCCAACCTAGATCAGAAAGAAGCCATGGTCGATTTACGACACGGCGACCACCGGCCCATCCAGACGAGCGCTGTGATTGTGCTGGGCGCTTCAAAATGCCAATCCATGCCACCCCCGTCTCCGCCGACTCCCTCAGCCTCACCATCAGCCAAGGAGATTGGCGACCCTGTGGATGGCTTCAGCCTGGACAGAGGAGCTACGCGAGAGCAATCCGTAATGGACAGAAGACTTCACAGCGGCATCCATGTATTAAACATCGAGGCCGCGGCGCTAGCAAATCTCACAAAGCTCTACGAGATTGACGCAATCGCCCGGGCTGGGTTCAATGCCTCCATCAAGGCTATTACTCGACTGGCCAAGACCAAGGGCAAGCTAGTAATCATAGGAGTGGGCAAGTCTGGCCACATTGGAAAGAAGCTGGTCGCCACGTTCCAAAGCCTGGCGATTCGCTCCGTCTTCCTTCACCCCACCGAAGCTCTTCACGGAGACCTGGGCATAGTGGGCCCGGAAGATACGCTCTTGTTCATCACCTACTCCGGAAAGACTCAGGAGCTTCTTCTAACGCTGCCTCACCTGGACGAGAGGCTTCCTACCATTCTCCTCACTTCTCACATGAGACACGAGACTTGCGAGTTTATCAAGCATCGGCCCAACACCATTCTCTTACCGGCGCCAATTCCTGAGCCGGAGAGCGTATCGTTTGGAGTTTCGGCGCCATCAGCATCAACCACAGCTGCTCTAGCATTGGGGGATGCGCTGGCCATCACGGCGGCGCACGAGCTTCACCCCAGCGTCTCAAAAATGTTTGCCAAGAACCACCCCGGTGGTGCTATTGGTGCCGCCGTGGCCGCGGTGGCTCGAGGTCCCCAGACCATAGGTCACATTTCCGTGCCATGGGACGACATTGACGTCGCCGATGGGCTGAGCAGCGATGATTTCGCGTCGAGTTTGCTCCGGGCTGCGTACAAGTCTAAGACGGGCTGGGTCAGAGTCGGCGACGAGACGGCGGTCCCGAGCAAGATTCGAGCGCTGAGTGACGCAGACATGGTGAGACCAATCAAGGAGGTCACGGGCATCACGGTGTCCCGCCAGCAGATGCTGGCCATGTCGTCGGAGACGACGGTCCGCCAGGCGCGAGACATATTGGAAGACATGCAGTCGTCCCCAATCGAAGAGCATGAGCAAGCAATTGGCGGGCCGGGATCGGTCATCGCAATCACGAGCAGCGGTAGCATTGTTGGCGTTTTGGAAGTTGAGCAAGTCCTCGAATACCAGGACGTTTGAAAAGCTTGACAAAGAGAGAGAGAGAGAGAAGAGGGAGGGGGAAAAGGAACAAGGGAGGAATTTTCATGACAAACCCCCCATGCTCATTCATTGTGCAACCATGTGGTAATTTGGTGTCATTCTTTGGGGGGGCCCAACCGGACATTTAGAGGAACCTTTGTAAGGGTCATTTTGAGTGATACTACGCCACACGAGAAGGCGATGGGCATAGTATACTATCATCCCATTGCATGCATTTACGGGTAGCTGCAGGATCTATTGATTCAGCGTGCATATATACTGCTAGGTTTTTATATCACGACAAGACAACAAAAACGAAGCTATTGGACATTGCAGTACTTTGATTCGTCGTGAATGGTGCAATTGAGTTGTGCATCTCCAACACTGCGTCTTGGCTGAGGGTTCAGTCGCGGTGCAAACATGCTTCTCGTTGGGCTGTCCAATGTCACCTACCAGTATCAAGGGTTGAGATGCCGAATCCCGTGTGCTGGTCATTGATAGCCGCGGAATATATATCTGCAGGCGAAAGAGGAGTACACGCTCAATCCCTTAGTCCATGAAAGAAGATGATAAAAAATAAAATGAACGAATGAATGAACAAGGTTTAAGGTTGCTTTGTTTCTTGTCTACCTACGGATAAGGTTATTCGCCCGCATCATTGTGGCGGCGGCTGGTGTGTGACGATGACACGACGATTGCGATTCGGTGGGATTCATGTCTCCTTGTTCAAACTTGTTGTAAGCTCCAGAAATACAAACTAGGTACTGGGACAAACGAGCAATTGCCGACGCCCACTTTGTTTGCTTTACCGTGGGGCTAGTATGGCTAAAGGGACTCGATCAAAGTCGATGGCATATCCCGAGGTATCATGAGGTTTCATGAGGTCCATGCGGCTGGCATATGACGGGTAGGCTATAGTAGGTACAAAACGAACAGTAGTTGGAAGCTGATAAAGAAGAACCGCATGAAGATGCCAGCAATAAGCCAAAGGAACGTGGGCGCGCGCACATCCATGTCTACATACTCCTCGTCAAACACGAATTCTCCACGTTGTTTTTTCGTTTCGTTCAGATTCAACCAACCAACAACGAGCCAGCAAAAAGATGCGTGCATGAGATCAAGACTATTCAACTTGTTTGGCCATCCAATCCCACGAGCTTGCCGCGGCTCGGTGGCTGTCTGACTTGGAAGCACCGAAACGCGGAGGAGCGTGTGCATGCAACCATGACCATGTCAATTTGCATGGACCAGCCATACCCCTTCTTCCCTTCTTCTTCCGGCGGTCGATGTGCTGGCGTCGCCCAAAGTAAGTCGGGGCTGACGAGGGCTCGTACATAGGTATCTTACACCGTCTCTCTCACTCACTCTGTGTGCGTGTGTGTTTGGTTTTGCTGTGCCTGGGCTTGGTGTCGCGTGACCACCAGTTTCGGGTGGTTCCGCCGTGTTATGAGTGACTATTTTTTTTTTATTACACTGGGCTTGTCTACGAGTACCTGCTGTTGTCCAATGGTTACACTGAAGAAGTTGAAGATGCGCTGGCCGGGATTCTGTACGAGTACATGAGACATTGATTAGGCTGCCGCACTGGATTGGCCTATCTGAAGGGGACCGGCGATTGCGAGCGTGCGAGACAACTCGTCACCTGCTTGAATCGGGGGCTCTCGTGTTTAGCTGCCGGGTCAAGAACCATGTTGGACATTACTTTTTTTTTTTTGACCGTCTATTCGGGGGTCGGGATGGTGTAAGACCGAGGGATGGTTGGTTAGAGCCTCGCAAAGGACTGAAGGAAAGTCTGGAATCAATGAAGCAATTTCTGGTGTACTGGATGAGCCCGATTGTTGCCCGTGATGCGCAGCTGAATAGAGGGCGTGATAACGGAGGGTTACCATCGCTAAGGACGCATTGAGCAGAGGGGATGAGACAGGCATGGGCCTAGATCGCGGGAAAGATGGTGTTACTTGTATGTCTGTCTTCTCGGGGCTGAGCCTGGGCGGCGATGTGATTTGCTTGTATATCAGACTCTATATGCGGGTGTTGTCGTGGTGCATGTGTGTGTGCTTCTACCCCCCACTCTACTAGATACTAGAGCCATTGATGAAACCGGAGGGTTTGAGACAGTTTGCAATGCGGAGCACATGAGGCTTTCATTCGATCATGTCAAGGGCATTCTTTCTTATCGGATGAGGGATATGCGTTGCTGGTGGGCATCTGCAGGTTTGACGAGATGTGGAAGGAGAGCGGCAACGGCTGCAGACATGGGATGGTGGTAGTATTGGCAGCAGAAGTGTTGAGAAGGGAACTCGATACTATTGCAGGGAGATTGCAAATCCAAAAGGGCACATATACTGGATGCTTCCATGCGGCATGTATGCTTACCTATGGGGATTCAATGACACGAACCAATACTGACCTGTCACAGCATTACCCATGACAAAGAGAAGAAGACAAAGGAAGAGGAATAGTCTTGGGCTGACATGTAGCCGATCAGACACCTCGGATAAGCGCCTCTTGTCTCATTTTTTTGTTTTCCTTTCGGAAGACGGCAAAGGGTAGCATCCAGAGACGCGGCAAGAAACCCACCTTGCAGCAACAACAGGCGGCGGGCTCCGGCTGAAGGAAATAAGACGAGAGTCCAGGTCGACCACAAGATGGAGTCGCACGGGTCGGAATGGTGAGCTAGACGATCCAGCAGCCAATCTAGATTTGCAGGGCCCGCAATCTGGCCTGCCGCAGAGAGCCAGAGTTTCTGCAAGCTAGGTTCAATAGTAGGCCATGCTCGTGGTACAAGTACGGGAGGGAGGGGCGTGCCGACGGGGATCCGTTCGTTGTTGCTGGCGATGGGCTTGTTTTTTTTTTTTTTTTTTTGGTCTTTTGTGTTGTATCTGCATGTGATGTGGTGCGCGGGATCAAGAACCATGAAGCAAGAAATACTCAATATCACGCAAGCAATGGCAATGAATCCCTCTGAAAGAACAAGTTGGCTCGTCCAACGGAACCACCCAACAACGGCGTATCAAAACTCGTAATATCCCAAGCACGCAAGGATTTTGACCCGAAATCCCTGCCTGAGCGCTCCCCCACCACCGACGACGCCTTCATGATTTCACTCACCCACCCTTGGAGAAGAACAAGAACGAAAGCTGAAAAAAAAAAGAGTCCAACTCGGGCAAGCACTCACGCGACACCAGTGGCAAAGGAGGGGATACTTGGCTTAGACGGGCCGATCGGTTCTAAGGGTCGCGAAAGAAAAAAAAATATGAAAGAAAGGGGGGGGACCCCCAAGCGGAGAATTATGGCGAAATAAGAGTTTTTCTTCTTCTTTGACGTTGGAGCTGTTGGGTGTTGATCGTTTTGGGAACATCTCGGTGAACGGATTGAGTGAAGCTCGGGGGCGGGTAACGGAGGACCTGCAGATTGTGGATCGCCTCGGGGTCCCTTGTTGTGCGTCTTGCTTCCTCCCAATTTGATTGATCCTTTTTTTTTTCCCCTTGTAGTATTCTGGCTTGGGAACATGGACCAAGCAGGGGGGAGAGAGTGGGAGTGGCACATGCCAGGCGATTGGCTGTGTTGGACTGCGGTTGCGAGGGACGGTTGAGTCGGAGAAAATGGCTGTGAGGGCATCGTGTTTGTGATGGATGGATAGGAGTCTAGAATCCAATTGCAGAAGCTGAAGTTGTATTTGAAATCCAAGGTACATTAGCCACCCTGCGATGTCTTTAGTCCCAGAACAGGTACTAAAATGCAGTTTTGACACACACCCAATCAGAGCCATGCAGACGTCGAGACTTGCCGGGGTTTGTATTCAGTACGAGCACATCTCGATAGCAAATTCCACCTCAACCAAGGCACCGCAGCATCTCACAGGTCCAGAATCCAAAACCCGGCTACTGTACGGAGCATCCAATGGCTCGTTGCCTTTAGCCGATTTCCGTAGGGCAGCGGGAGGCCAGGGGTTAGCAACAAAGGAAAAAGGCATCATCTGGGCCAATGGGGGGCACGAAATCGATTTAAGAATCGAGGCACTAGTTCTGTACCAATGTTGTGAAGCACGAGCACGATGCAGCTACCGAGGACGTGCCTTAGGCCGTGCATTTTGAATGGATTGATGCCTTTCAAGCTCCGCGGTCGGGCTATTTCGAAACAGCCGAGGGAACGTGGAATATAACCGCATGAACTCACCATGCCCGATTTCGAGGTATACAGTAGGCCGGTTTAGAATGGGGAAAAGAGAAAAAAAGAGGGCAAAAACCTTTAGTGATGGAGAGACGGGGAAAAAGAATGAATACGAAACTTTTTCATTAATCCTCTGCCGGTCCCTTGTCCATCTCTCTAGTCAACTAGTAGTTTAGACTGACTCGGATCTTGACTTTTTTTTTTTGTGCCCGTTCAATTATACCGGCAGCAGTTAGTTGATCAGGTCATCTTTTCAAGTCCATATTTTTCTTTGCTCGGGTAGACGAGAGGGGCCGCTGTTTGGCCGTCCAGTTTTTTCTCCATGGGGGGTCTGGAACGGCTCAATGGGTATGTTGCCTTGGCGCGAATTTGATTGTGTAACAATGTGCGTGCGAGAAGGCCGTTTGCGGATGAGGGCGACGGAAGAGGGAGAGGTAAAGCCGGGGAAAAGAAAAAGAGCATGGCGAACAAATTCGAACAATTGATGTTTGTGTGTGTGCGTCTAAGGTTAAGGTTATTTTTTATTTTATTTTAAAATTTTAAAAATTTTCCCAGTCTCTTTCTGTGTAGACTGGTATTTGATCCAATGTAAATGGACGAGCTTGACTGGCTGTCGTGTCTTACTGAGAGCTAGAAGAGGCGAGTCCGGGCTCCTCCTTACGGCGCACAATTCGACAAAAATCAGAATTAGGCTCTCGTCTGGACTGACGACGCTTCGTATTGAATTCCAATCAACACCCATTCGCCCGTGGCAATATGCATTAATTCAATGCGCCAGCCAACTTGCACATGGAATCAATCTTTGCTCGCTGGAGGCCCCCCCAGCCCTCAGCCCGGCCGTGACGATAGTGTCAACCTACTGTACAGCTTCAATGGCTCCTCCACTCCCATGCGCGGTGCTCCATAGGGGCCCCATAGGCGCTGCTCGCCCCATCCATGCTCCAAAATGCCTGCCGCAGCCTGCAGACGCCCACTGACACCCACTGACACCCACTGGGACTGGGGCTGCCTGGCAACCTGTAATTGATGCCTGCCCTGTCTTCATGTTGTTAGCGCCCACGAGTACATGGCAGACAGCGGACCTTGTCTTTTCCACGCCTCCTTTGCCCGAGCCCGGTTCGAGTTCTAGTTCTAGTTCTCCATGGATCCTCTTCTCTCTTCCAGGGTTCCCATCAAATGATATAATTCCGCGAACCCCCGTGCGCAAACCTGCCGAGCTCGTTGGCTGCTCTGGATGCCGATCGACTCTGGTCCTCTCAACTGCAGGTGACATCGTTGACAGCGGTTCGTTCACCTCGGGATTTGCGGTTCGTGAAGCTTTTCGTCTCTTTGTTCCTGCCAGCTTCTTGTGCGTCATCGTCATCCTTTGTCCCCCCAGAAGACGGGCGACAAAGCACATGCAAAGTCTATCCTATCGCATCAGCCAACAGCCGGCTGATATTCCAATTCAATTCAATTCAATTCATCTCCCTCGCTCTGTCTTGCCTGTCTTACCCCGGCTCCGGCTCCGGCTCGTTCGCCGTGGACTATAGCTCTAGCGCAAAGGCAAAACCTCATCTCAGCTGCTACTGTTACCACGACTACTACTACTATCTTATCTCTCTATAGCCCAGTCTCTTCCGCTCTCCAAGCCATCCCCGGCCTTCCCTTGTTTGTTTCATCCATTCCTCTTACTGTAAGCCGGCCGTTATCGCTCGCTGCTTTGACTTTTGCATTTGATCCAATCTCTTCCCCTCCCTCTGCGCAAACGCCACGGCTTGTCATCCGGTTGGCTCCACGACATTTGCATTGCCTTCAATCGCTTTGTTTTTTTCCCTGCAGTACAGTAGACCGCACTGGGCCAAGCCTCGCACTTTGCATCACCCCATCTCATCCGTTGCAGCTCTATTGCAGCCGTCCCGAGGGCCCGATCCGATCGAGAACGAGCTCCCTCTCTTCATCTTCTTCATTCTGGCTCCCTCCCGCTCTCTTCCGTACCAGCACCAGCCTTGGACGAGGCCAATTGCTCCACCAGCATAGCCTCGATTTCACCCCGACGGTGCCGCCACCAACGGCTTTTAATGCTTTCATCTCGACGACAGCCACTCAATTGATCTCGAGCCAGCATCTGCGAGCAGCAGCTTTCCAGTCAAATCATGAAGTACGGCGTTCAGTTGGAGCGAGAGTCGGTTCCTGGATGGAGCTTGCGTATGTCCATGTCTCTCTCTACCTCTCCAGTCTCAAATTGTCCCACAGCGCTTTGACTCATTCCAGACGCATCATCTAATTGACCTCGCAATCACAGACAACCTCGACTACAACTCCCTCAAGCACGAGATCAAAGTCCACACAACGCGCGACCAAGCCACAGCCCTCGCCATTCCCGGTCACCAAGATACAGCCCTGCAGCGATTCGAGGATGCCCTGTACACCGAGCTCTGCCACCAGCACGACCGACTCGACTTGTTTGTCATCAGCAAGGCGGACGAAGTCTCGAGACGATTGGGTACGCTTTCTTTGTCATGGCCGGGTCGCCACCCCGTTGCTAATACAGACCAGAACACATCGCTGCCAGCATTAAGCGGTTTGCCGCCAAGACCCATCACGAGACCGGCTCGCCGAGTGCATCCCTAAGAAACCAGCGCAAATTCATAAAATACGAGCGCGAGCTGCTGCGGTTGAGGGAGGACATACAGGCCCTAACGCGCTTTGCCAATGCTCAGATTGTTGCGTTTCGCAAGATTCTCAAAAAGTATAGAGTACGTCATGATGGACACTTTTACTGGACCGGACTGCATACCTAACAGGTATGGACGGCGGGTCCTGCGAGCTTTTGGCTAACCCTTGCAACAGAAATGGACCGGTTCATCATCGTTAAGCTCCAGGTTCAACGAAGAGGTGCTGAGCAACCCCAGGAGCTTTACGCGACGCAGCTTTGCCGACCTGCTGGAGCGGCACGACGAAATCCAAGAGACGCTTCGCCATGCCACCCCGGCCTTTAGTGAGCCTAGCTCGCCTTCATCAGTCGACACGCCCGTCGCCCCTTCGAGGCACCCGTCAAGTTCGCAGCGCGTCACCTTTGATCCTCTCCCGCCGTCCTACCTCGACCCCGAGCCGCAGCCCAAGTACTGGAACGAGTATGACGACGGTAGCGACGCCGGCGGCCCAGACGACGAATACGCAATCTACGTCGATCCCGACCAGGACTCGGGCTTCCCCGGCTTGAGCTACGCCCAGGCCATTGTGTCGTTTCCCTTTGAAAAGGCCAAGGAGTGGCTAGGCAAACCGCGGTCGCCTGAGCGGCAGCCCCTCTTTTCCTCCATCTCATCCGGGGACTCGTTCAACCAGGGGTACGGCTCCACGACGGCGGTGCACACCGACTCGGAGGAGGAGGAGGCATACGCCAGCTCCGACGGCTTCCCCACGCAAGGCTATGCCGCGCACTACGCCCTGCCCAGCGTCGGCTCGCAGGAGCTGCGTCGTTACCGCGAGCGAGTCTTGTTATTGGGCACCGTTGGCTGCTTCGGGGCCGCCTTTTTCTTCTTCGGCATCGCCGGCATCCTCATCTCGACAGGCCGGCACAAGCTGCGAGTCGAAGTCGATGCCGGCGCTACCGTTGGGGCAGTGGTCAGCCTGTTCTGCGCGTGCTCCGGCCTCGGCATGACTCTTTACAGAGAGGACCACCTGTCTCTGCCGTATCGCCTGATGGTGTGGTGCACCTTTGTCGCCACCTGTTTGCTCAACGGCATGCTACTCATTCTCGTCCTGGGCAATGCTCCCTGAGTTTGGCGAGTCGTGAATAGCTGGAGCGAGGGGAGAGAATATCGTCTCTCTTGTTTTTTTTTTGTGTTGTCATTAATTCTATATCAAAGTTGCATGCATCAGACTTGCGGTCTGCGGAGTTGGAATCTTTTTGTATTTTCCCCCATATTCTTTCCCATCTTTCCTTTTTGTTTTATTTTCCCCTTTTCTTGTGTGTATAATGCGTTTTCATTTCTCATTTCTCATTTCTCATTTTTTATCCGATTACGGAAACAGCGACTGGAGGGGTTTCTATATCATTTGACAGCTTCAAGCTAGAGATGTTGCTGCTGAACAATCGACGGCAGTCTAGCAAATTGCATAATGGCGCTTTGGATGGGCATATTTTGTATGTATATGATTCATGACAGAGACTCAGGACGGGAAGAGCGGGTGGAAAGGTTCTTTTTTGAGATTCCCGAGACTGTTTGGAGGCTCTGCACAGAAGATGGGCATATTTATTTACAAGGCATTTTCACATCAAATCTTGCGTTTCCACATACATGAAATATGAGCTGTAATTGTAATGTAATGTAGTAACGCAATTCAGCCAAGACTCGATGGCATGTACGAGTATGCAGCCAGAAATAGCAAAGTGGAGATGGGATGGGGATTTGCGTTTCTTGTCCCTTTCTTGGCCACCCCCCATGAGATATTTATCCAGCCAGTCAGAGCAGCTGGCTTTGACTTTTTTGGCAATTCGATAAAGTGCTGTAGGATTGTCTCCAATTGCTGGACGGAGGTGGTGGAAACTGAGCAATGCATGTATTTGGTAAAGGGCAGAGAAACTATCTAGCAACATTCATATCCGTCTTTTCTTGGCATATAAGCTCAATATTAGAAAAGAACTCGAGGGAAGAAAGAAAGAAACCTGCGAAAAGGGAAGAAATTGAAACAAAAAAAAATAGCAGATGAATAAAAGCAAGAGTGTAAAGATCAGCCACTTATAACCCCCCCCCCCTGTGAAGAATTCCCGAAACCCGCAAGCACATGCTCCCCCCCCAAAACCCTCCATTTCAAACACCATCATCATCATCATCTTGATCATCAAGTCCATCAAGGTCCAGCCAGTAATCAAGCGAGTCGACATCCATATCCATCGTCGTGGCCTGATCAAAGTGCCTCCGGTCGCACTGCTCCTCAATGTGCTTCGCCAGCGTATCAATCGCCTCGACACTCCTCTTGGCCATCTCCGCCGTGCGCCTCCGCACCGCCTTGTCGCCGGCCATCTGTCCCTTGAAGAAATCCATGGCCTGTTCGTGGCGTCTGTTGATGGTGAGGCGGCACGAGCCGCTGCCCTTGACGGTGACGTGCGCGGACCGCCTGCTCGCGTGGCGGGTGAGGATGTCGACGTGCAGGACTTGGCAGTCGACGGCTTTGATGGCCTGGATCACGGGGCTGTTGGCCTGGAAGAAGTCGACAAAGGTGAAGCGGCTCTGCGAGGATCCGTCTTGCTGCTGATGGAAGAGCGGCATGATGCACACGGTTAGGGTGTGGATGCTGCGGGATGACGAGGCGGGTTGGCCGGGAAGCGGCTTGCGGAATACATCCATCGCGGCGACCATGCTGTCTTGAGTAATCGCTGAATAGCGGTTTGCTTCGGCCTCGATGGTGATGTGGCGGAATAGATGCGCGTATCTTTCGATGTTGATGCTGCGCTCCCTGTCGGCGACAACGGGGCCATCGTCATCATCTTCGTCGTCCTGCTCAAGATCATCCTCGTACTCGGACTCGCCATCGTCTTCGCCATTCCTGCCCGCTTCGTCGTCCATCGCCAGGCTGTCAATATACACCCCGTTGAAATTTGCGTCGCGGAGACGGTACAAGAAAGTATTTGCTCCGTAGAGCACCACGCTCGCCTCTTCGTGCACGATTCGAGACACGCTGAGGATTTTCGCCGATATCTGCAGATCTTTTGTCCAGTAGACTTGTTTCCAGCCTCCGTGGACGGGGATTGGCTTTGCGGCAGTGAGTAGGTGGCGATAAATCTGCATGCGAATCTCTCTCGGGATGCCCATGAAAGTAGGTGGTGTCTTCTGTATAACGTGTTCTGGAGGAGGCGCTTTGCGAGCCCGCTTTGCAGGCCTGCATGGCTCATGATCCCTTTCCTGCCCCCGGTTTTCTTCTTGTTCCTCATCTTGTTCCTGCTCAGCGTTTCGTCGTGTCTTCCAATAAGGCCGTTGGAGGTTGTCGTCATAAGGGTCAGGGATGTGAGGCTTATCAGCTTTGAGTGATTCCGTCACTTCTCGTTCCTCATTTTCGCCCAATTCTTCCCGCTTTTCTTGAATCTTCGAGTAATGTCTTTTATTGGGAACTCTCGATATGCCGACAAGATCTTCTTCCTCAGGTAGCTCAAGTTTCAGGCCGTTGGGGAGGCGGACATAGTCACGAAGCACCTGGTTCCCTCGCTCTTGATACATGCAGCGTTTGGCCTCGGCGCGTTCTTTACGAGACTTGCGCTGGCGTTGTTTCTTCTTGCTCGCTCGCGAGGACCTGATACGAGTGGGCTTGGCTTTGGAAGCTCCTGAGGTGCGACAAGGAGCCATTGTGGGTGATGTTGGATGGTTGAGAGTGGGTATACGAATGAGTTGGAGTGTTGTGCAATGATGGGGTATTGGGTATAACAAGAGGTGATTGAGGATGAGGATCAGTGATGAGAAGAGGTTTGAAGACAAGGGAAGAAGAGATGAATTCATGGTGCAGTGTTGCACTCTGCGTTAGGCATCTCTTTAGGTGCATCTCCTTGGGCGGTGTGCAGAGCTGGAGCGCAGAGTTCGATGCCAGCATTGATGCTGTCTCGCCTGCGGTTCAACAGGACGTTGATGGACAGTCTCCTCCTCTCCGATGTGAACATGGCCAAGTTGTTTCGTACCTCTAGCGATATTCATCCGTTACAATTAATTTGGGAATTTTACATCAAAACCCCTATATGTCGTATTAAACGCATGCCACCATCTAGGTACTATCTTGACGTTGCGGTACTGTTATACACGTATAATGAAGTTCTCGCAACCTTTGGAGACCATAGTAATCTAACTGGCTACGCTACAGCTTTAGGGCTGCTAGGCGCTAGATCTCGTCAAATAGCAGCCACATCGATCGAGTCCTTTCAACCTGCAAGTCGATAGAGTCGCATTGAGTCCGATACAATTGGCGACAACTAATAACCCAATCCCACTCAATCAAAAAAAACACAAAACACCAATCCAACCCCCATCCTCTATACTCATGCTTATCTGCATTCAACAATGTCATGCAACAACACACCCGGAGATAACAAAGTGGAGATGACATTTTTTTCTCTCTCTTTAACCCCCATCCATGGGCTCCATAATATGACACGGAAGATTTACCCAACCAGTCAGAGCCGCCGACTTTGACTCATTCGGCAACTGAGCGGAGGGGGAACGCCGGGCTCTTCATTTATAACGGCCCAACTTGCTACTATATTCGTCTTTGCTGTTGAATCTCCTTGTAAAGTATCATGAACTGAGCGAGCGTATCTCTGTCTTCATATTACAGCATTATACCCAGCGGTCTTGGCATCTGTTTACAACAGTCACTAAACCACCATCACCACCATCACCATCTAAAACAGTGACAACTCAAAACTCAACTCGTATTACCCATTCTTAACCAATCTCACCCAACAATGACCGCAGCCTTCCGCCTCCGCCCCGGATCAGCCGCCGATCTCGTCCACGCCGTGCGTCTCTACGACGCCTGTCTCGGACCAGACAAGCTAGTATCCCTCTTGTTCCCAGCCAAGCAGGACGATCCCGCAGCATACAACAAGTACCTCTACAGACTATACGCGAAGCGTTACTGGTCCGTCGAATGGATGTTTACCTTTGTCGTCAAGGAAGGCGGCGATGCCGTTGGGACCGAAGTCGTCGGCTTTGCGTGCTGGAAGAAGCCCAAGACCGAGATTCCCTTTAGCGAGCGCTGGTTTACTCTCTGTGAGTCTCTTCTCTCTTGTCAATTGCCGCTTCTCGCATCATACATGTACATCAAAGCATATCAAAAGCTGACCTCGAAAAGTTGCCTGGATCGCCCCCGTCATGCGCGCATTCATCACCCTCCAGAACAAAATCGCGCCCCCCAACGTCGACTTCCACGTCGCCCACGCCTTTGACCGCTGCTTCCCACCCGTCGAAAAGGCCGTCTTCACGGGCAAGAATCCCCAAGAGTGGTGGTATCTCAGCACCCTCGCCGTGCACCCCTCCGAGCAAGGCCATGGCTTGGGCGCTCTGCTCATGGCCCAAGGACTGACAATGGCCGACGAGTTTCAGGAGAAGCAGGCCCTCGTCAAGGCGGAGGGCAAGGCGAGAGGAAAGGTCTGGCTGATTGGCCTCAGGGGCACGGATACCTTTTACTCAAGGTTCGGCTTCGGCGAGGTGGGCAGGGCGAATGTCGGCGAGTTGAGCGAGTGGGACGGCGGCCTTGTCATGTTTCGAGAGTAAAGCCATGGTTGAGAAAAGCTCGTTTGTTTTGTTCATCTATTTCGTACATACGAAGTGCTGGTGGCCTTCATCCTTTGGAGTCAGATAGAAGTACAAGCCCTGTGGTGTTTTCCTCGCGTCTCCTTTTTCGTGCCTCAAACCCCTTTTTGTGATCATGCTTCCCTTGACCAATCCATGTACGCCCAGCCATCCTGTCCCTCAAAGCAATGATTAAATCCTTTTGTCACTTTTATAAAAGCAAATTCATCACGAGACATGCTCGTCGATGATCAAACGCAACCATTCATATCCCGAATTCTGCGGCCGTTTCTCATAAAACAAATAATTTCGCTCGCTCATATCTATCCGCCAGAATGTCCGATTTGGACAAAAAAAAAGTAAGGAATGGAAAGTGGAAAGAAGAGAGAACATGAAAAAACAAGAAGGAAAAGAAAAAAAGAAACATGGACCAAGCAAAATAGAAGAGGAAAAAGCGAATCTCTAAACTCCTCCCCTGTCTAACAAATTCTTTAGCCGTGCCTTGTCATTGTGAGCGTAAAGTTTTACGCCGTATAAGCACAAGATATTTTTTTTTTTTTAAAAAAAAGCAAAGTGGAAGAAGCAATCAAAGTCATGAAGATGTATGACAGAAATAACATATCAAAACAGACGAAGGCATGAAAAAAAAGTATGTCGCAATGATGGCACGCCAAAGTAACTTGAATTTTGGCATGTTTTCGTCGTCAAGTACAGGTGTGGTGCGAAGTGGAGGTTTGAAGATCCTACAGCTAACCCTCATGTGCTTCCCCAGCCACTTTCGCAACAGCCGAGCTCATACATCGTCCTAATGAAGTGCTTTCTATTCAACTCTCTCAGCTGAAGGGCGTTGTTTAGCCTGACCAAGGTAAGTTGGAGCTCGTAGGCTGTCCAACTGAGGGCGAGTTACTTGATCGTAATAGTAATGTTGTTGCAAGGCGCTTGATCTTTGAGGCCAGGTTGGAACGTAGGAATGACCAGACTCGGGCCACTGCTCTCGGGAGTAGCTGCGGGTGTTCGGTTCATACGTCAGAGAGGCCACAGCTCTGTTGTCAAAGTAGGTTGTGCCGAAATGCGAGGTGCCGCTTGAACTCGGTCGAGGATTTTCCAACATGGGCTGGCTCGTTGCGATATTTTCACTATAAGATCGCAAGCGAGGGACTCGTGGCATGTTAGTGTCCTCATTAATCGATGTCCAAGAGCCTCTGAATGGTGCAATTGCCGAATCTGAATCCCGAAGATCACTGGCTCCCGCCAGATGAGCAATGGACGGCAGTCTCTGCTGGTAGTGGTGTTCTCTATTCCTTTGAAGAAGAGATTGAGATTCTGCGCCCGCACGGTACTGAGCTGGATGTTGTTGTTGATCGTGGCTGTAAAAACCACTGAAACCATGAGGGCGTCGAAATTCGCTGGACGAGAGCCCATACATGTGCGCGGTAGGTCCTTGGGAATGTCCAGGAGATGATACCTGGGATTTTGGGGCCGCGGGCAAGGTCCGGGGCACGGCTGACTCGGCGCCAGCCGAAGACGCAAGCGCATGGCTCGTTGCGTAAGACGGCATAGTGGATGGAAGGGGCATTTGAGGGGGATGTTGGGGGGAGTCTGCTCCAAGAGGACTGAGGCGGATTCGCTTCCGCGAAGCGTTCACAGATTCAACCGCCTCATGTTGAACGACAAGTGAAGAATCCCCGTGGCTGACACAGTCTGCGTCTTCAGAACTTCGCCGCTTGGAGGCCTTGGCTTCTACTGTAGTGGTAGCTGCGCGGGTTGCTTTGCGGCTTCTGACCAGCTTCGCTATGTTTCCCGCCTCTGACTCTGTAATGTCAGGCAGAAACTCGACCTCTGGAACCTGGCCAAGAGTGCCATTCTCAATCTCCAGGTACAGGCGATCTGCAACCTCGAGCATTTGCTCCGTCGTGTATCCAGTACCCAAACGTTGAATGATCCAGTCGGGGGCGGCCGAACTGTTTGGTGCCTCTACAGACTCATCCTCGCCTTCTTCTGTTGCGCCTCCTTCTTTATCAAGGCGGCTCTGTTCCCTCTTGCGTAACGCCAACGTCCAGAGCTTGATGTAGGGGCCGGTTCCTTGGCGTTGATTCTCGTTACTCCATCTTTGGAGTCGGTTGATCTGCATCTTCACGAGGTACATCTGGTTGAGGGGGTAGGTCTTGGCGTTTCGATACCTGATTCGTTGATAATGTTTGCGACAATAATAAACCCACACCTGCTTTGGGATACGAAGGGTGCAGGCCTTATTGCGTCCGAAAAGGTGTGAAATGGCTTTTCGTAGCTGCGAGCCAGTCTGACAATCATTGACAAACATACATCGAGGCTCTTCTTCGAGCGGAGCCATTGATGCTGGGCTCAAAGCCTCAAGAGATGCCTCTCGAGTTATTACGTCGCGGGTCGATTGTGTCAGAGAAGTGATGTCGGATATCTGATCGGAGACTTGCTCTTGTGGCTGTAAGACAGTTCCCCGAGAAAGCATCATATCAATGACAGTGCTTGTTTGCCCATTCCTGAGTGCAGGGTGCAGTCGGTGGTCGGAGTCAACATCTTGGTAGGTTGCAGCCATGTTTGGCTTGGCTTCCTCTGCTTGAGTCCGCAAACTTTTTGGCGTAGATCTACCCATGATTAACTCAGTAGATGATGGCGCGGGATAGCGATCGTTCAACGTGTCTGATGCCGATGTTGTCATACGGGAATCGAGAAGGGGAGCAGATGTTGCTCTTTTATGATACTTTGGTCGGGTCGTCAACTCGGAACTGCATCAAATGATTTAGCTTCAGAATCGTTAAGAGAACTTTTATGAAGAGACGATCAAAGGGAAAATACGTGTAGGAAAGTCACAGGATGTGTATGTAGTCTCCAAGAGCAAGAGAGGACAATACTGTGTGTTGACAGTAGTGGCCAAGAGGTGTATGGTGTAGGAAAGGAAGTCTGAACTTTGGGATCAAGAGAATATAAATAGAAAATTTGCGCAGCTAAAAGCGGGAAAATTCTTTCACAGTGATGCAGCGCCAGCTGTCTGTCCTTTGGTCACGCGTGCCGTCAAGGCAGGCTTTGACCGCATTCTTCAGCTGTCAGGAATTTCTGCCAGAAGCTGCCAGGATGTCATCGGTGATTCACTGGCAGCCGACTCGTGCACACCGTCTTTCAACAATGAGATGATGCTTGAGCACTTGCTTGAGGAGGCACCATGCAGAATTCAGCTCTGAATAGAGTGACTCCTCTTCGGAAAGCGAAAGGGGAAAAAGCAATAGTCAACGGAAACTGAGGCAGAAATATTTTGACAAGCATTTGAAAGGTACAAGTTATTTCGCATTGTTCTGGGCAATCCGTTTGATATGCCCAGGCAGCAGCCTTTACACAAGGTTTCTAGGAGAATGGAAAAATGAAAGACGTACCGCAAGGCCTCTCCAAGTAGAGTAGGTTGCCTAAGCTTCCGCAAGCTGAAAACGACAGCCGGTCGATCATTCGAAACGTTTCTCGTTATGATTAGCTGGTTTTGCATTGCTGCTGAGACTTCTTCTGCAAGTAGAGGAGATGGAGACTGCGTTGTGATGTCAAAATCAATCCGAGGACTTTGTGCTCCAAACCGGTTGACATGGACCGACGGCGTTTCCACCATGGGTATGCTAGAAGAAGATACGCCGCAAACAGATGCCACAGACGATAGCCCTGAATAACACTCTGACAGCGATGATCCCGATGACACGAGACTGCTGTTGCTGAATGATAATTTATGCTTTGGGATTACCAATAATTCTCCTGAAAAGCTGGCACGGTGGTCGTGAGGCGTCATTCTGTACTACACGTCAGATTCATTCTCCTTAAGCCTTTGGTTCAGCTATAGGTCTGGTGTAAGCTTACCGAGTTGAATATATGTGAGCATCGTCACTAAGATGAAGATTGTAAGCTTAGGGGTACAACAGATTATGCCAAGTAGAAGTTCAAAAGAGATTCGCTCTTTTGATGCCAGCCACGAGGTGGTTCAATTTGTGCTAGCGGATGGAGCAAGCTGTCTGGCCGCTAACATTGTTTTCCAACAAGGAATGAAGCGAGTCAAGCTCACTCACCATGATAATTCGTTCCTTGCCAACTGTATCGGCAATTGGGACGTACTTCCGAATGGAAAGCTCATTGATGGTCGCTTTGATCTATTGTTTGCTTCCAAGGCAGTTTCATGGACATGCTTTGGTGAAAGTGGAGGGCCAACGCCTGACTGAGAATCCGACTCCTCGGGCTTGGTTGCTCTTACTCTGCTTTCATCCCCAAAGCTGGCAATTTGCCTGTCATCTCTGCCTGGGCTCTGGCTGGAGTCTTCGACCCGAGGCATCGGTAATGGTTTGCCGTGATTGTGGTCCTTTGATGAGCCCTTTATGCCTCCTCTGATGTAGCAAGGCTGTTGAGCATTGTTGAGAAGCGAAGTTACATCCATTTCCTCGATTTATCAATGCAGATAACCGCGAGTGTTGTTGCTTACGACAAGATGGATGGTAGTAGATAAGAAGTGCGACGTAAGAGAACTGCGGGGCGAGCAGACGACGCCCTCACGCAGACAAGAACTCCGACTTGATCCGGGAAGGTGACGACAACTTCGAGCTGGTACAAAAAAAATCTTCAAATAAGGGCTGTTTTCTGAAGTGCAACTGGTGCTGGAACACAAGAAGTAGCGCGTCAGGTGTCTCCCAGCCACGTAAGTTGGCTGTTTCGGCGTTTCAGGTAGTGATTATGTGCTATGTGATATGTAGATTGAAGCCCCTTCAAAACCACTTATGGTCTTGGAAATGCGCACTTGATGCCTGACGACGGTTATTGCAGAAACGAGCGATACAACGAATCTGAGTATTATTGTCGAGACTTTGAGATGGTCGGATGGTCGGTGGGAGATGCCTGAATTCGTCTGCTCTTTGTTGAGTTTGAGAAACGAGAATGACCACTATGCAGAAAAGGCTCAAAATCTTCCCTCTAAGAAACCAGAAACTGTATAGGAATGTTTGCCGGGGCCCCTGTAGACTTATGCCGTGCTGGTTTCCGGCAAAGCAGAGCTATGCTTACAGAAACCAGGATCGTACAGCGGCGTGGAGCTTGTTTATCTGATGAGGCTTCTTTTCTCGATCAGGACAGCGGTGAGATAAAAGAAGGAAATCGTCTGCTTCTATTTTTACAGGCAGTAAATACCCCAAATAGTTTCGAAACGTGGGGCGTTGGCATATGATGAGACGCAATATGCGACAGGATGCTAACCTAGTAGGCACGACGTTGATCTACTAGTGGGTGGGCAGGTAAGGCTGAGTAAAGCAACGTTGAATGAGAAAAGTCCGGGAGATGAGAGTTGACTGATGTGAATAGGCCGGGGAACCGGATTGTTTGCCTGCGTTGACGACATGAAAGGAGAAGAGGGTAAGACAGAGGACAGCGCATTGCCCAAGTCGGGAGCAGGAGTGTGGGCCGCCACCGACAACCTCGCCATTGAATTGTCCAACACTGTACTTGCATATGACACTTTGAGAAACTGTGCAGATGTTGACCCTGCCAGCGTTGTACTCTTCTGTTTAAATCGACGCCGTTTGGCCGAAAACGAGGGCGGCGACCAGTAACGGAAAGGTCGAGGTTCCATGAGGCCGGATACGACGACAGTCACCAACTGGGCATGATAGAGGTTGCTCACAGACGTCCAAGGGCGAAATTTGAAGCTGACAGCCTAGGCGACGAAACGTTTGCTGTTCAGCTGAATCAAAATCTGTTAGTAGCTGAAATATTGGTATTTCCCCTCCCCCCTTCTCGTGGGATCTCGCAAAACAGACCGGTGATTCGGCCAGCAAGCGACAAGTCCCTTGGTAAATCGGAAATAAACATGAGAGCCATGCTGAGCCACCCATTCCTGCAGTCAAATCGTAAACCAAAGACTTTTAGTTCTGAAATCCTTGCTCATGCTAGCTTAGTTACCGCTAGAGCGGGGCGGGATACAGGAATGGCTTAGCAGTCGTGTGTAGTCGACTTGGTTACTTGCAGATATGGGCCCGAGCAGTCAATCCGTGGGTCGTTGGTTTATCACTTCAACGAGGTAAACATGAGCTGGGGCCACGACGTGAAACCGAGCTCGTCTTGGATCGTCCAATCGGCAGGTTTCGAGCTGACGCATCTTGGTCGCCCACATACTAACCAGAGGCTGGAGAAATCAAGTATGAGTCCAAAATTGGCCCTCCTCTCCCAAGCCCTGTTTCCCATGGGGCCACGGCGTTGATCGTCGAGAAGAGGGACTGAATGAGTTGCAGCACGCTTAGGTCTGATATGACGAAACGCAAGCCAAAAAGCCCCAGAACGCCCAGAGGGGTCGCCGATGCAGAATCCATAGACAGGGTCGGGGAGACGCCGTCGGCCAGCTCTCTCCTGATGAGACGCTGCGCAATTTGTTGTCGACCATGCTCATTAAACTCTCAGTTAAACCAGCCTTTGTTGCAGCCGTGCAAGAAGACAGATGCCGGATAGGTGTGGTAGAGCAAGCGACATGGCAGGGGATACCCACCCAGGCCTGGCACCGTACCGTAGCATCACACTGCTGAATGCCATGTGGTTGAGTGCCAGTGAGGCAAGCGGGTGTGTCTGACAAGCATGCCTTTAGTCCAGGAAGGGGAAGTCCTTGCGGGAGAAGATGTGGCAGACCTGGCCGGGACTGCAGTGCCCACGCCCTCGAGACTTGCTCTGTGCGGGCCTCTCGCGCGGCGCGTCTGGCCGTAGAGGTGGTGAGGCGCGAGAGAGGAATGTCGGTCCTATTCGCAAGAACTTGACATTTCTTGGCTGGTCGCTTGCAGCTACCCCCGAAGCCAAGCGTTCGGCTACATGCGTGTATATCATGGGAGACTGGAAGACGGAGTAATAACCTGGTAGATGGACGTTGGTGCCCACTCGCATACGAGGCCAAGCACGAGTACTGTACTGTAGACTGCCGGTCATATGTAGACGCACCGTCCGTAGTCTGTCGTCTCGCCATGTCGCTATCCCCGGAGAAAAAGGCACAAAGCCGCTCTCGTCAGCGATCGGGCTCCATGTTTCATCGCCGTATCGTATCTGTCGATGGTACCAGGCAGATGCTGGGCCAGGCCGGGTGGGGATCGTCCAGTCTCCTCTCCGTGCAGAGCGTTGCGAAGGACTGGATGCCGCACAACTGGGAAAACAACGAGAGCATCGGCGAGTGCCGGGGGGTGCAGCCGCATGTTTCAGCCGTGCGTGGACATGCAGATACGCTGCACGGCGTGCGCCTTTCTTTGTTCCTGCGATGAAGAGCTCGCACAGACACCGTTGACAAGAGTCGAGGCGGTGACGACGGCCACCCTCATGCCATCGAGCGCTTCTGTACGAGGTGAAAATTAAGTACCAAATGCGTGAGACGTGCCTGGGCAATGTCTTGTTCCGCTAGCGAGGCCACGAGGAGGCGAGCACATCGGAACCCTGAATTCGATTGTGCATGTACGTGTAGCTGACAGGTCTAGGATCCCCGTCCTTGTAGTATTGGGGTTGATACCTTCAGGGTTCCAATCGATGTCTTACTGGTGCCCTCATGCCTTTGTCGTTCCTTCCTGAGTGCTACTACTACTTAGTACTAGGCAGGTACTTGCCATCATCGGAAAGGGACTTGTCCAGTGCGGCTGCCCGGTGATGGGGTTCCTGCAAGTCTTGACCAAGCATTGACACGACCTTGTACTTACTTGGTACATCATGGCAAATGGCTGACGCATTCAAATCTCTCCTCCTTCATCCCCAATGACTTGTCGCCATCGTATTCGTACAACAGCAATCGCATGCAGCCTCTGCAAATCAGATAATTTGCTGTCGACAATGTACCGTCCAACCGGTACAGGATACTATCGGCATAGAGCCCTATCACCATGCAACAGGTACGGTAAGTATGGTTGTGGTGGTGGGCATCCGTGGGGATATCAAAGCGTAACTGATGATTAGTCGAGACGACCACCATCATCGGGCCTCATCGGGCTTCATTGGGCAGGGTTCACGTTCCTGCTTCGTGTGATGAGCAAATAAGGTGCATGCACGAGTAAGCCCACCTCTGTGGCAATCCTTCTGTGGGCTTCCGAGCGCTGCTCTATCAATCAAGGGCTGCCCAGCATCACGAGAAGCGCCTCGTCGAATACCTAGCACAACCCATGCGATGCAGCGGCGGGCCCAAGCTTGGGAATGGGTGTGTCGTCTTCACGTTGAGCATTAAAAATGGAGCCGGCAACCCCAGGCCAATGCTAGAAGTTGCCCAACACTCGCGTTTGCATTCCAAATGAGATTCCAAAGCAATATCGATCTTCTCTGGAAGCTCGACCGACCCCACGCTAGCTAGAGGGGTTGATCCTGGCTTGCATTTCTAGGCCCTGCGCTCATCCCGCGCCGTGTGGATGATTGATTTCGTATTATCGTCCATCTCCAAAAGGGCCCAAGCGGCCGGCTCGGATATGGCCCTTCAAAGAAGCCCTTGCCGCCACGTTTTCTAGACTTGCGAGACTACTTGCGGGCGACGGGTTACGGCGTAACCCTTCCCTGGCTGTCGTCTGGAGGATCACCTATGTGAACCTGGGTATGGATTTTCAAGCCGCCTTGCACTTCACTGGATGGACAAATTCTCAACAGCTTCGCCCAGAAAGGGCGATGTGCCCTTGGTGGGTTTCATCCGTCATGAAAGAATGCTATCTACTAGTACGAGTAGTATTTCAGACGGCCCACCAGCCGAAGCTTTCAGGGCATATGCGCGTGTCATGTATTACTTCCACAGCCGCGGGATTATGTTCCTCGAGCCTATCATAAATCCACGTTCCGCTACTCAGGGTAGCGCTAGACTTGTGTTCGCTTTCCTTTCTGCCGCAATCCGCTTCAGTCTCGGTCGGCTATGATGGCTCTTAGCTTCTCGTCATGCTATTAACATTAAGTAGTCTCCGATTCTGGTTGCTTGAACTGCAGGTCCCAAGAGTTTGGCAGACGATCTAGCAAGTCCCGATACCCGGTTAGCTCACCCTTAACTGCCGTGGGGGATTCGGCAAAAGTTCTACCAAGAAGACGGCCAAGTGATAGCCATGTCTGAGTTGTTAAGGGTCCTTCCTATCTAGAAAGGGGGCAGATGCAATATCTTGGCAGATGAGCACACGAGCTCTAGGCCCTGTTACTATAAATGAAGAGCAGAATAGCCTAATAGGCGCCTGGCTGTTGTGAAGAGAGAAAATTCCCCTCTCGGTGAATCTTCGTATACTCCGTATCTGCAGTGGAGGGGGGGCTAATTTGACCTCAACAGTTTTGCTCCTTAGATGTTGATAAGTTAGCACTCGGCTGCAACGATTTGATAGGCGAAGTCATTGGCTGGCGGCTTCACCTGGTTGTGTCACCACAACATGAATCCAATGGCACCTCGCGCGCATGTCAAGATGGCACGGTAGATCCTCAGGAGCATCTTCGTTCCCCATCGGCCTCCTCCGTGCAGAAATATTGTATCAGGCCTGATTGGGCCAACTTGGCTGCCATGTGGCAGTTCATGTGGCAGGTAATATAGGAGCCGTGGCGACATCGTCTCTGCAAGATTGGCTGCAGCTTCATACTGTCATCTTCGCAGAGCGCAAACCTCAGTCTATCCTTCTATTTCGTAGAATCTCGACTGCCGCACGCGCTCCCGTGGTCCTCGGAACCATGACAGGAGTGGCTCTTTGAAAACGACAATGACCGATCGGCCAACTGGGCTAGCTGCTGCGACCCGACATCACGACGCTACATCCGTTATTCCGACGTTATCACGACTTGGAATTCCGCGCCTGCACCTACGGCAGCAAGTCTATCTGGGCGTTGTTGCTACAAGGATTTAAATTTATCGACAACCGTAACAACAACCTTGAGTGTAACTGGCGCTTGTGTGTCCACCCATATAGAGTGTTCCCGCCTATGGAAATGAGACTTGAGATCTGACGTGTCTCCTGTCTCATTGCCACGACCAAGCTGAAAGGTAACATTTCGGGCTCACTCGCCCGGTGCGCTGGGTGAAGCAAACATGCATCGGAGAATTACTGTATGCTCGGATACCCACAGACCGCGGCACAATGCCTACGGCAGAGGGCATATCAGAGTCCGAACCGTGTAACCCATTGACAACAGTTAATATTGACTTCATAACCAGTGTGGGTTACTCCCTATTGGCAGCCTCGCTGGCGCCACCGCAAATGTTGAACTGCCGGGATCACGGAGCCTGCGATGAGCGTGCGTCGTCTTGAGAAGTCCCTGCATATTCTCTGTCAGCATTGAAGAGAATTCATCGTGGCTGAGCAACCACGAAGAGAGCTTTTTGGGAATGTCTGCGACACATGGATGTAATGCTACGTTGCCGCAAATTCTTGTTCTTTATTTGCCCTTTTACAAATAGCGGCAAGGGATTAGCACTTGGGAACTGCAAGACAGGGCTCTGCTGATGGCACATCTTCATTGATGGTGGAGAGGATGTCCTAGCAATACAAGATGATGAGGTCGAGCCTGGAGCATTAAGCCAGTCTTCTAAGGAGCTCGTTCTTCGATTGCCTTTGTCGCCAGCTATAGATGGTTTGCTAGATATTTCGCCATCGCCCACGACAACAGGCTGTGTGCTTGCTTGGCCACATCCACTTCTAAAGAAAGAGAATAGCATCATCAAAATAGGTCATCCACAGATTTATCAGCGTCCTTTTGTATTAATTCGACCATTCCCTGTAAGACTTGGTAAGCTAGACTGAACCAATACGACTTGCAAGCTCGACAAACCCACCTTTGGCATGATTGGCTTTCCATCTACGCCTGAGACATAGCGAAACGGCATCTGAGTGCTTTCATGTTCGTTAAACTTGAGCTCTGGAAAGTCCAGATACGGCACTTGGTCAAGGGATACTACTAAGGTTAGCACTATGCCATCTCTCGGATGTAGCCATTGACTTACTCTTATCTTGTACGACCATTCGAGTCACTCGGACGGCTGTGTCTGTAGTCATTTGCTTTGGGCCCAACCGTCTGCCCTCAAATCCCTTCTTTCTCAGTTCAGAGGTTCGGTCTAGAGTCTGTTAGACACGAGTTGATACTCGACAAAGCCTATCAAAGCTCACCTCGAGGAGGATCATCCCCTGTGATATGAGTTGTTAGCTGATTCCCATTCATTCTAACACACCACCAGGCCGCACTCACCCAAAATGCCTCCAAATAGAAACGCATCGAATGTCTCGCCGTCTTCGGGCGCCAAATCCTTGGCTGCCGCGGGATCCAAAAGGCAGACTCGAGACTTCTGGCCGGCGTAAAGCTCCTCGACCCCGCGGTGCTCTGCCGTGAAGGCCTTGCTGGCAGCCAATGCAGCCGGAACTTGAAAGTTGGGAGGCAGGCAGGAGAGGATGAATTTGGCTTTGGTCTCCTCACTCTCAGCTGCGATGGCTAGGTACTCGAGCTCTGACCAAGGGCCAAGCTCTGGGTCGAGATGCTCGACAATGAAGGTTTTGCCAGCCGAAGCCATTTTGCGCGGGCTACTCCGTTAGAGCACAAGGTTTATAATGTGATGTGAAGTGAAATATAATTCTTGCCTTGCTGGAGATGTGAATGGATTGGTGAGTGGTGATCTGTGAGCACTGTCATGAAAGAGAGACTTCATCCACCGTTTGAAAAAAAAAATCAGTAAAAATGAGGTTACTGCACCCTCAGCGATCTACTAAAAACTAAAAGTACATCGGTTTTGGTGGGAATCATCGCTAGATGCCATGTACCCTCAATCTCTGTGCATTAGCCATTGACGGACGCTAATTCTAGGGCGAGCTGCATTGACGTTGGGGTTTCTAACAACTTACTACTAAAGTATCAGAGCAGAGCAGAGCGGATGCGTAACCCGTAAACCAAGGGACACTCGGCATCCAACCTATCTGCACAAGTGCAAAGTTTAAAAAGAGCCCAAAAGCCACATGATTATACAATAACAACTTCTTACGCATATAGTCTGCGTTGAAGACTTCAATTCTTCACATCTCAGGCTTGAGCTTGCTATTGACTTCCCCAGCGACAATGGACGCCTGCCGTGTGGGGCCGAAGCGCTATATCGATTGCAGTTACAGCGACGCCATCCGCCTGTTTTAGGGGACCAATGCCCAAGTACATCCCACACCAGGTCCGACATCCTCAAGGAGCAGGCGGAGCGACATTCGCTGAATTCGGCCACCTTGCAACAGCCAAACCTTGCTTCATCACCCTCCGAGTTTCACCTTTCACCTCGACAGCGTGATTCTCTGTCAATGAGCCTCTACACCGACCACGACTGAGGAAGCTGTGCTCCCTCCTTACCGACTTTTTCTTTCTTCCGCCGTCCACTCGCGCCGACTGCGCCGCTTCTCGCCATGGTTTCGCCGTCCGCGCGGCCAGCTTCATGGCGATGGCTGGCCGTCACCCTGGCTTCGCTCTGGCCTGCACTCGCCGTTGCTGAGCAATCGAAAACCACGGCAGACTACTATGTTCACGATCTTCCAGGGCTGCCGCAGAACGCGCCGGCCGTGAAGATGCACGCTGGGTAAGCATTCCGCAAGCACAGCACCAGGCAAGGGAGGATTGCCCCCGGGTTCTGCATGAAGCTGACGCCGCTCTACTCCGCCACCAGCCACATCGAAATTACCCCCGAGCACAACGGAAACCTCTTCTTCTGGCACTTCCAGAATCAGCACATTGCGAACCGCCAGCGAACCGTCGTGTGGCTCAACGGCGGGCCAGGATGCAGCTCCGAGGATGGCGCAATGATGGAGATTGGACCGTACAGAGTCAAGGACGAAAACACGCTGGTTTTCAACAATGGATCCTGGCACGAGTTTGCCAATCTGCTCTTCGTCGATAACCCAGTCGGCGCTGGCTTCAGCTATGTCGACACCGACAGCTACCTCAAGGAACTAAACGAAATGGCAGACCAGTTTGTCATATTTCTGGAGAAGTTCTTTACCCTTTTCCCTGAGTACGAGTATGACGATGTAAGTATCCCAAATGTGGCGGGCAAGATGTAAACTCTAATGTTGCTTTCAGCTGTATTTTGCGGGAGAGTCATACGCCGGGCAGTACATCCCCTATATTGCCAAAGCAATCGTGGATCGGAACAAGTTGTTGAGGGAGCACAAGATGGACAAGGAAGCCTGGAACCTGAAGGGATTGCTCATCGGCAATGGCTGGATCTCCCCGAGAGAACAATATGACAGCTATCTTCCGTTCGCATTCGAAAAGGGCCTTCTCACGAAAGATGGCGATGTCGCCAAGAAGCTGCAATCCAGCACTCGAATATGCCAGAACAAGCAAGGCAGCGATCCGGGCCACGTCGATTATGGCGAGTGCGAGAGTATCCTCAGCTCAATACTAGACATGACCCGAAAAGGCAATGGAAAAGACGCCTGTTGGAACATGTATGATGTCCGCCTTAGAGATGAGTTTCCCAGCTGCGGAATGAACTGGCCGCCGGACTTGGCCGCTGTCACCCCGTATCTGAGAAGACAAGACGTTGTAAAGGCGCTTCACGTCAATCCCGCCATTGCTGACAATGGTTGGCAAGAGTGCAGTGGAGCAGTGAGTTCTACTTTCAAGGTGAGAACGTCTGCTCCCTCGGTCGACTTGCTGCCCGGTCTCTTGACAGAGATTCCTATCTTGCTCTTCTCGGGAGCAGAGGACCTCATTTGCAACCACATTGGCACAGAGAACATGATTGACAACATGGAATGGAACGGAGGAAAGGGTTTCGAAATAACACCTGGAAACTGGGCTCCCCGTCGAAAGTGGACCTTTGAGGGCGAAGTCGCTGGTTTCTGGCAGGAAGCCCGCAACCTCACCTACGTCTTGTTCTACAACTCATCCCACATGGTGCCGTTTGACTACCCTCGCCGCACTCGCGACATGTTGGACAGGTTCATGGGAGTCGACATCAGCAGCATTGGCGGCGAGCCAACCGACAGCCGCATCGACGGCGAAAAGGGCATCGAGACGACGGTTGGCGGCGCTTCCAACAACACCCACGCCCATGAAGAAGAGACGCACCAGAAAATCGACGACGCCAAGTGGGCAGCCTACCAAAGATCCGGCGAAATCGTCCTGGTCATCGTCATCGTCGCGGCCGGGGCTTGGGGATACTTTATCTGGCGCCAGCGCAGAGCTCGCGCCGCCTATAGGGCACTCAGCGGCAGCGACCCTTCCAGCCGACACGGCTCTCGTCTCAACTTTTCTTCTCGTAGACGACATGCGGATGTTGAGGCGGCGGATTTCGATGAGACTACTTTGGACGATTTGCATGTGGAAACACCGACTGCTTCGGAGAGCAAGTACACCGTCGGAGGAGATGACGATAGTGACGATGGCTTGTCAGAAGCGGAGCGGGATAAGAGGAGGAAGGCCAACCAGGGAGGATCGAGCTAGACATTGGAGGTGAGCATTTGTTTTTCCCGATGTAAAAAGCATTGTTACTTGGACATGGGGTGGGATGCTCTGATTCTCCTACAGCTGCCAGCTAGAAACTGGTGCCAGAACCATTATATATGATCATAGGGAGTATATTTTACATTTTTCACAAGGGTGTTTTTGGTTGATTGTTTGTCAAAGATGGAATAAAAATTCTGATTCTCTAGTATTGTGTCGTAAAAAAATATTTGTGACCACGCCCAAATAGAAAACGCCATGTCTACGCCCAAAGCGTTCAGGGTACGAGAATAAAAGGAACCTTCTAGCCTTTTTTTTGTTTCTTCAATGGCCCTTGTTCTTTGTTGTACTCCCTGTTTTTCGTTAACCCGTATCCAACCAAATCTTGATGAATGTCTTGCATAGCCCATTGACTCCATCACGCAATCCTTGCATTAACAGCAATTCGCCCATATCCATGATCGTAGAAACCCAAACAAAATGCAAAACAAGCTCCATCACAGCTGAATCTCGTTGTTCAGCAGCCTGACCTCCTCGCCGGGCTTGAACGGCGGGAGCCCAATGTAAGGGCATCCATCGCAGCGGAAAGCGTCGCCCAGAGCGCAGTTGCCGCAGGAGCCCACCTTGCCCTGGACGGTGAAGTCAACCTCTGTGAGGTCGTCGACGGCGAGCTTGACGCTCTGGAGGGCCTTGTCGGCGGCTGCGCGCTTGGCGGCGTCTTCAGCTTCGAGGCGTTCGGCGAGGCCGCAGGTGCAGTCCTTGCAGGCGCGGCGGCGCTTACCGGCTTTGGGCTGGCATTCGGGAGCTGTTTTCACGAGCAAGTTAGTGTCTGTGAGTTTCGAAGCAGGTTTATATGTGGGGTAGAGCATACGGATATTGATGGGTCGCTTGAGGTCATCTTCGGTCATGAGAGTGTCTTCGTCGATGAGCTCGTCATCATCGTAATCGGCGTCGAGATCGTCAGAGAAGTCGATGAAGCCGACGCCAGCAGGGGCGACAGGCTTGACTTCAATCTTCTGCACGGGCGGGGCCTCGACCTTCTTCTTTCGGCTCCCCAGCTTAAGAGAAACTACGCCTTCTCCGTCGCCATAGTCAGGCTTGTCAAAGCCCCCAGTTGACGCAACCAAGCCCGCCAAGACGGCTTCCTTTGCCAGAACGGCGTTTTGGCCGAGGTCTGAGCCATCCTGCGACTGCAATCGCCCCTTGGGCTTGAGCGACTCTGCGATGGGACCGAGGATGCTTCGGGTCAAGAGGGGAAGGGTCTCGTTGAGAGAGGAAGACGCATCGGCGAGGACGAGGACGAGGTCGTATGTGGCAGATGGCAGCTTGACGAGACCAGCTGACAACCGGTCGATCATTTGGAGATCTGTAGCAGAGCGATCATATTGAGACACGACGTTTGTGAGCGCGGAAGGGTGAGAGGCGAGAGACGGCGGCGCCAGGAGGAGAGTTCGCTTCGTCTGTGTCGCCACCGGGGCCGCGAAGAAGTCGTCCGAGGTGTCTATCATTACGACGGAGGGCGCCATTGTGAAAAGAATGCTGTGAGTGGAAAGGACGAGAATCGGCTGGGAACGAGAGGATGTTTGATTGTCGAGAGAAGTGAGGGAACGGATTTGTAAGAAACGATATCCGTTTCCCACCCGGATGTTGGATAATAATTTCAGTGACGCTTAGTAAAAGCTTAAAAAGTCAAGGGTCAGGATGTTGACACTGTATGTTAGCAGTGGGTGTGGCCTGAGAGGTACAGTGTGGATAGTGCACGCGGGGTCGGATCGATAGTAATCGATAGCAAATGCGGACCCTCCGAACGCGGAGATGCAGTTTACGCATACGTGGTACTCTACGCTTCTCATTGGATACGACGGACAGGGGGAGGAGAAAAGCCCCCAATTGCTGTCGAGCGGATGACCAACTTGCAGGTCATCCTAACGACTGAGCTTGAGATGGATCTCAGATGCTTAAAAGCTGGTATCCACCTGGAAACTACTGACGAGTTCCGAAGCATGTGCTTGTGCTTGTTGTATGTCAGTGCTTCGTATCCTCTGTAGAAACTAATATGATGCTTGTATTCAATGGCCATGAAATAACGGGATTTGCAAGAGAGATGCTTCGCCACCTGCATATCGTCGTGGCCTTCCCAAAACGAGTAACGGTAGCGTTTGCTATTTGCAAAGAGTTGTCTTTTCCGCGGAAGTGTGATAACCTTGAGCATCAGCCCACTAATATCGGCGTTCCGAACTAGCTAGTGATTTACGAGCCGAGCCGATGTTGTGAATGAAGAATACACATCAACTGCCAATGGCAATACCAGTAACTGTTGTTGGATAAAATTGGTGTGCTTTCACCTGGGTACTTATCCATAATTGTAGCATTTACTGTCAGAGACCACTTCCATACAAGTGGGAATGTTCAATGCGCTCCACGTTTATTCCAACTTAAGACTATTGTACATTTTAATAGCTGCTAAACTTGAAACATATGCATACCTTAGCTTTAATGAGTCTACCGAAGATTACAATAAATGTCGAGCAACATCCAGAGTAGATACAGGCATACTTGTTTGCGTTTTGCTCTATGCTACGCTATCAAGATCAAAACTACAGCCCAGTTGCGTAACATGCCCTCATCGGGTTCTAAGTTCGTCAGAAATTACTATCCAGCGAGTGATTGTCTCCTATGATCGGCTGCTTTATTCTTCCAACTCTTTGGTAAACTGCGGAGCAGGTGGAATTCACCAAGGTTTGTGCTCAATACAGAAGTAACCAAATCAACAACCTTGGAAGAGATATGGCAAACGAAAAGTGGAAACAGCCTTTCTCAGAAATCATCAGTAGTGTCTTTATCAGAAGCCACGGTCTTGGTCAAGTATCTGTGCAATGCTATTGCTATGTATTCTGGAAATCGGTTCAATGTTTAGTAAAGATATCACAGAGGCTTCGTCACGTATCAATGTAGAGGAAACAGCATGGCTTGATCCAATCATCGAAAGAACATCATTCAATTGCAGCAGCACTTTATGGAACAAGGCTTTCCACATGTATTTTACCTGTGACACACAAGGTATCCTACTGGAGACGGATAGCAAATACAGCAAAGTAATATAACAGCAACTGCTATCCTATGCAGGAATCCGTTTTCCATTAATCCAACCGACTCACGCATCAAATCAGAGGGCGTTGGCATATAACAAGCCTCGCTATCAGGCATTTTACTTCCCATGAAGCAAGGCTATCAAGCTCCCCTATGACTGCTCCCTACAGGTAATTCCCCCACGTGAGGACTCTGCCACTGCCAGGTTGCTGCCTGAGGGAAGCACTTCCTTGTGATAAGGTTGCCGGCTGCTCTTTTAAAGGCGAGCAAGGAAGGAGCTGGAATAACTTGCCCCCATTCTGCCGCCCCGTGCACCGCCTTCGCCTGCCAGCTGCCAGCTGCCTTCTTCCCTGTGCACTGCCAATCTTCTCTCTCCCCTTCTTCTTCCTCTTCCTCCTCTTTTTCTTCTTTCTTCCTTACCTCCTCAGCTTTCTGCACATCTCCAACTTTGAGGGTAGCTGCAGGTTTTACACCAGCTACATCAAATCTTGTGAGTAAAGAGCTGAACCATCCGCATCGAAGAATATCTAGCATCTTTGACTAACTTGTCAACAGTGCACGTAGGAGGCAGCAATCCGCTCCATTTGGCTGAACGCGACTTTGGTCTCGTTTTTCTGAAACTTCATCTCAGGTATGCTCATCCGATATCCTTCCTCTTTTGCAGCTCGCCTTCCTCAGCTTTCCATCCCTGCTTCATCTCTTCAGATTGCCTACCCTCCCACAGATGGCTTCCTTCGTCGCCTACGCTCGTCTTCATCCTCATGGAGACACTGAATGGATTCCCTCACACTCTGCCTCTCAGCCCTTCATCACTTTGCCCCAGTCATCTTTTACTCTCAAGATCAACTTTCTCAAAGAACATATTATCACCTTTCATCCCCCCTTTATCTGATTACTTGTTTCTCTAACCTTTCTAAGGAGTTTCATTCATCACCTCATCGTACCCTATCCAACACTTGCCAAAGATGGGAGACTGGGGTTCTGGAGTTGCGGATGGTGGCTGGGCAGCTCCAGCCACTCATTCCTTCCCTGACAAGGGAAATGCTGGAGGAGATACCTGGGGTCAAGACTCGGGCGAGCCAGCCGACAATGTTGGATATTCCAACGACGGCAACTTCAACGGCGGTGGCGATGATGCTGGAGCATCTGGAGCTTACGGAAACGATAAATGTTTCGGCTGCGGTGAAGAAGGGTAACTTGGTTCCGCATTCTTTCGTTAGACACACTACTAACCCATTATTCTACAGTCACAGGCGAGCTGAATGCCCCAACGCTGGAGAACAGACTTGCCGTTATTGCAAGAAGGAAGGCCACTTGAGAAAGGACTGCCCGGAAGCGCCTCCCATGACCTGCTCCAACTGCGGCCAAGAAGGTATGTCTGATGAGTTGCTCTTGGGAGATGGCAATGACATTTACTCATGATAACAGGTCACTTTCGAAACAGTTGTGAGAATGCTCGCAAGGTCAACCGTGACCACGTCGCCGACACTACTCCTGATGCTGCCTGGGACAAGCTCAAGCAAGCGGCCCGTGAGAGAGATGTCGACGATGCCAAGGAAGCGATTGAGGAATATGTCAAAGCTCTGGCGGGTGAGGTCACTTACCGCCAAATTCAAGAGCGACTGATCGAGGAAAGCGTCAAGATCTGGCTCATCTCCACTCAGAGAGAGTTGATTGATACTTTCACAAACATGGACCTTCAAGGCAACATTGACAAGAAGTACAGCGTCTCGGTTAGATTTTCCGACAAGCCAGAGAGGCCTCGCGAGATCAACGTCTGGCCAGATGGTATTGACGAGATTCTCTCTCGCTTGGATGACGCAGGAATGGTGGTAGACAGAGGTGTCCCAAAGTGCTACAACTGTGGCGAGCTCGGACATACTACCAAGGGCTGCTCCCAGGAGAAGGTTGAGCACAACACAGACAAGCCCAAGATTTCGTGTTACAATTGTAACGCCGAAGGCCACCGTGTGAGAGACTGTGAGTCGCAATGCCGCCCAAGGACCATTCCTCCTTTCTCCTAACCAGCCCTCTAGGTCCCGAGCCCCGTGTGGATAAGTTTGCTTGCAAGAACTGCGGGTAAGTCTGCGTTTATAGCCATAACGCATGCTGACCGAACGCTGACGATGTTACAGAAAATCAGGACACAACGCCAAAGAGTGCGAAGAGCCTCCCAATTTGGACAATGTCGAGTGCCGCAAGTGCAACAAGAGTACGTCAGGCCCATCCGTATGATGATACAATAGCTGACTGTTGTTTAGCCGGCCATTTTGCCAAAGACTGTCCCGATGGGGGCAGCAGGGCTTGCCGCAACTGCGGCCAGGAAGGACATATTTCTAAGGACTGCGATCAGCCTAAGAATATGGACAGCGTCATCTGCCGCAACTGCGAAGAGACTGGTCACTTCAGCAAGGAGTGCCCCAAGCCGAGAGATTGTAAGTTTCGTGACGAGGCATTGGTACCACGGTAGCTAACAAACACGCCGCAGGGTCCAAGGTCCAGTGCTCCAACTGCGAGCAGTTTGGACACACCAAGGTTCGGTGCAAGATGCCTCCTAAGGAGTCGGATGCCTTTGAAGACCATGGATATGGTGGCGAGGCCGAAGAACAGCCCCCACAGGCTGGCGACGGCGACGGCGACGGCTACGGTGAGGCAGCTGGCGGCGGAGACGACTGGTAGTCTATTGCCATTGCTAGCAGTTCATGGAGAGATCTGATTAGACACACCGTTGCTTTTTCATTTAGTTATAGCTGCCCTTGATTTGGGCTGATTTACTGCACAGTCTGTTATGGATGTCGTTACGGAACATCCCGGGGTTTATGGAGAAAGATGGGCGCACATGGGGCAACAGAGGCTCAACCGTAGCCTAATAGCTGAGCATATAAAGGCATATATCGTGCTGCCCCTAATAAAAGCTGATTCAGAGCACAGAGTTGAAGCGAGCGGAAGTACACATGTAACATATCCGAGTACTCCGTGAGAGAGGTCACCGATTCCACAGCGGCTACCCCACCCCGATAAGCCGAGGATGAGCGTACATATAAGCTACCAGTTGCAAGCAGACGACAAGTCAAACAACCTGCGAAACAGACCATTTACTCTTTATACAATCCGGTGTGACTGTTGCGGATCAAATATCCCAACAACGCCGTGCGAACATGGCCGCCAGGGAGATTATACTTTATCATTATAAAATCTCGCCCTATGCAAGGCGCGCTGTGTGGTACCTAGCTCTACGGGGCATTCCTTACATGCAATGTGTGAGTTGCATCTTTGCATAGTCTTCAACCAACTACTGTGATGGGGAAAGATTTAGACAAGAAAAAATGCTGACATAGGATATCGACTCCAGCTCCAGCCTGGCGTGCTGCCACGGCCGGATGTCTCCCGCCTCGGAGTCGCGTACCGTCGCATCCCAATCTTATCTATTGGAAGGGACATATACCTTGACACTCGCCTCCAGCTTCCCAAGCTAGAGGCAATGTATCCGGAGCTGCCTCGTCTGGGAGCAAGCACCGCGGATCAGAAGGGCATTGAGTGCTTGCTTTCGGCCTTTGTCATTGACGGCGGCATCTTTCAGCAAGGCGTCAAGCTACTTCCGCCGGAACTGCCGTTCCTCAAGGATCCAAAGTATTTCAAGGACAGAAGCGACTACACGGGGACAACGATGAGCGCAGAAGTGTTGACGAAAGTACGGCCCGAAGCGCTGAGGGAGGTTGCTGCGGCGTTTGAGCTGCTGGAGACGACCATGTTGGCGGACGGGCGAGAGTGGATCTTGAAGACGGAGAAGCCGAGCCTGGCGGACATTGAATCTGTCTGGGTGTTTCACTGGATATCGGGGATTCCTGGGGCGTTGCCAAAGGAAGGGTTTTCGGCGGACAAGTATCCGCGGGTTTACGCGTGGATTAAGCGCTTCCAGGAGGCGGTGACGGCGGCAAAGAAGAGAATGGAGGAGCCTAGGACGTTGGACGGCGAGGAAGCGGCGAGGGTCATTGAGGGCTCATCGTGGCATGAGGAAGAGGGAGTTGTGGATGAAGGAGACGCGCTGGCGGTGGCGGAGGGGCTGAAGAAGGGTGTCGTGGTGATGATTTCGCCGACGGACACGGGGAAGGCGCATAAAGATGTGGGGAGGCTGGTGAGTTTGGATAAGGACGAGGTTGTGATTGAGGTGAAGACGGAGAAGGGGGAGAGAGTGAGGCTGCATGCGCCGAGGCATGGGTATAAGTTGAGGAGGTTTGATGGTGAGGCGAAGGGCGAGGCGAAATTGTAGGTTGGCAACGATGATGATAATGAGCGCAGATTATTTTCTAGAATAGATGTATATTTGGTACTGGAATGTGGAAGATGTCGTGATGATGGCTGACATCTGTCTGTCAATTCAGGGGCATCGTGTCCTACCTACCCTGGAGCAGCGAGGGAAAGTGCTGTCGTTTGATCTTGGATTCACCCACAAAGTCGTAATAAGGTTATCAACCGCCCTGAATAGGATTCAGGTGCGTGCCTCAGACGTAGTTAATCGAAGACAGCGGTCCGTTGTGGAGATACGCTCTCGAACGGTACAGTCACGCGCAGAGGCCATACGACTAGGTTGGGGAAGCATCAAAGTTACTTCCCCAGAGATCTACTGATTCACAGACTCAATCTCCGTTCTACAGCCAAATCGCGGATCTCTCAAAGCCATGTTCCAGCCCAGCAGCCCTTGAGATGCCCAAACGAAAGCACAGTGACATGGCAGGCTGCTCATGATCGGCAGGGCCATGAGACCAAATCCTCTCAGGAGGAGCCCGACCGTTTTTTTCTTCTTCTTTTTTTCGATAACGGAACGATTGCATCATTTCGTTCTTTACGGTATCAAACAGGATTCCATGATGGAACCCTTTTGCCTGACGGGCGCCAGCTGAATGGGGGGGGGGGGGCACGCCGGTCAGTCTTCTCACGCATCCTTCAGTACCCTTTAACCCTTTCTGGTCCGGTTGCTCGCAGAATCCGGGATGGCAAACGTTGGAGGAGGCAGTCCATCATGCTTTCGACTCACCTGAAATCGTGCCTCTCCGCAGATTTAGTTGGTCAGGGAGGATGTATGTATGTATAAGCACAACCGCCGATCATTTCTCGTGCTCCGGGAGGCGAAAAGAGTAGGATTAATCATCGTGTCATCACGAGCATCAGGCACAGTATCCAAAATAGCCCAAGCCTAAGAAAAGCTGTAAACAAAAAGAACTAGCCAAGATCTCGATCCTCTTTGTTTGGTTGCTCGGAATTAGGACGCCGTGGGTTCGTGGTTGCAAAGGGATGGGCGAGGATCGCCGATTTGAGACCTCCTTCTTGCCCTCCTCCCCTTTGTCCAAGACATCTCGGAGAGATATTGAAGCTTTTTTCTTTCTGGGAAACAAAGAAGCTTGTAGAAAGAAACTGAATCAAGCCGTTTTCAGTGGACGTTTTTTTGTTTTAAGTTTCGGTCGTTTTGTTGACTTGCCTCTCCTTATTCTGCTATCGTCTCTCGGGGATGGCTGAAGCTAATGACACGTCTCCACCTTGAGTATGCGACTTTTTGGATATCATAGTTGTTTGGCATTTCTGCTATAAGCAGTAGAATTTCATCGTGTTCAGAAATAATAACATAAATAACAATAAAAAAAAATGAAGGGATTCCATGCTGACAATGTCACACGAAGCTGTCGCGTGTCGCTGGTTTGATACTCCAGATCCGACGCATGTGCTTCTACAGACTGGAGCTACAGACAGTCCGGGACGGTGTTTCACGATGCTTGGCGGAAGTGCGTCATAGCTCGACCGGCGCGGTGGAGACGTGGCGCCGAAGCGAGAAACAGCTTCAACGACTTATTCAAAGACCAAGACCAAGACCAAGGAAATGGGAACAAGTTTTGTTTGTTTGGGCATCCAATGGGGAGGGCATCAACCGCCGCAGTAAAGCCAGGGCCCAGCAGATACGCACGGCATTGGCCCGAATACCTACAAGGGCAGCAACTCTCGGCGCCTGGGTCTCTTTGCTTTGGGCCATATTTCCGCTGGATATTTTTCTTCCCTTCTTTTTTCTTCTTCTTTTACCCATTTTCCACATTTCATGCTGACGTCACGGGCCGATCATATGGCGCTCACCAATTAGCCAGCCGGGGACGGCCAAAAAGTCGCGGCACAGTGTCACGGACGATGGTACGATGTGGGGACGGGCGGGACATTTCAGGGGGTCGCCTCTTACACTGTGTGAAGTTTTTGGCCGTGGCCATCGGGCTGCTGTGGTTCGCTGGCTCTGGGTGGTTTTTGAGAGGATTTTGCTGCTTGGCTCGGAGTTTGCGCAAGACAAATCTGGTCGGGCATTGAGCTGGATGGATTGTTGCGCGGGCCTAATCGGGCAAGTGGGAAGACGCATCCATTTGCAAGCAGCGAGCGAGCGTTGTGTGTCTTGTCTTGTGAGGTATGGATACAGTACAATGTCTTGGGAGAAGAAGAGGTGTTGAGTTGAGACCTGTGACGTAATGAAGCTGCAACCCGACAATGCTTCCAACTGCTACGATACCGGCATAACGAGTACGTGCTTGGTGAGCTAGACGGAGCAAAGACCATGTTGAGAAGAAGAAAAGTCAAAAGGTCGTACCTCTCTTGATTTACCGGGATGCATAGATACGGCTCCTCCTTTGGCCGTTGGCTAGCCCAAGGCAAGGTAGCCTCTGCGCAGAGGCCAACAGCGGATGCATTAGACGTGCCGCAATCTGGGAGGTGGTTTTTGGTGTGTGTAGAGCGCTCACCCAGTAATATACGGGCGACGGCCAAATCGCCACAGCCCTTTGACTTGTTCGCCTTGTACGGAGTACAGTATTCGTAAATAACGGTTGCCTGCTAGGGGGATTTTGTCGCCGAGTCGGTGAGGCGAATGTCGGCGGAAGAGGCAGCACTCATGAAGTGCTCCATACTGAACGGAACTGACTTTGATATGGGATGGATGCGAGTGATGGTTGACTTTGGCGATCAAACGGGCCTTCGTCTACTGTAGGTGGCAGATTAGCGAGTACTCAAGAGCTGCAATTCAAGCCCGTCTGGTCCTTGATACAACATCAATCGCACACGCTACCTTGGCTGCTTGGGGTCATTCTCCCCCACCGCACGCAAAAGAGGCTCAATCGCTGCCCGGGAGCTTCCAGCGCCATCGTGTCCACCGAGTCTCTCGCACCAGAGGAGCGTCATCACCAGCATTGATTGAGTACGAGCCCAAATACTGTACCTACGAGACCCATGCCTGCAGCGCCCCACCTCGTTTTTACTTCTTCCCACTGCATCTCTCTCGCAGCTGCATTTCCAGTGGCACGCTAAAGCAACCCCCCCAGGCATCCTCTGAGCCCATACAGTGCGACTTCGCCATATCTTTTTCGTCTGGACTTTTTGCAGAGGCAAACCAGAACGTGCAGCAATTGACTAATCCGGGAGAACACGAACAAACTGAAGCAAAAGTAGCTTTTTGAAGCCGTTTCGACTACGGAGTGACCCCCCCTTTTCCTTCTTCTTTTTGTGGTGCTGTTTTGTTGCTACTCGAGCTTCTGAACGCGTGGCTACTTGCACTGATGCCGCATTCATCCCGGACCCCTGAGCTCGCCACATTACTGTACTGTGCTGTACTGTACGCATACTTTTACGGTACGGAGCAGTGGTGCTCAGTATGAGTGCCCTACCTCGATTGGCTGCATCTGGCCTCGTTTCTCCCTCCTGGAGACTTTTTTTTTTGGTTTTGAAAGTGGTGCTACCGTCTAATACTCGCCTCGCCTCGCAGGCAGGCATACTTGTACAGTACCGACAAGACAAGAAAGCAACTGTACGACGCCCGTCTCAGTCAAATCATCCCATTCGACACGCCTCGCCGCTCTCGATAGCAGGTATACGGTGTGTGATGGCCACGCATCCGCACGGCCCACACCACCCGTTTTCCCAATCGCGAGATGCGCACCAGCGTCCCGCACAGTGCGGGGGCGGCCAGGGTTTGTCAGCGAAGTCTCTGCAGGCTCCATAATTCATTGCACCCTGGGCTGGTAGCGCTCGTGGCCACTCACAGGCGCCCAAAAGCAGCCCAGCCAGCAGGACCCCCCCAGAAGGGTCAGAGCCGCCGCCGCCCGCCTTCTTTTTTCTGCGCCTTCGTTTTTTCACAACGTCATCTCTGACGTCTTCCTTCCTCCATCGTGCACTCTTCATCACCCTCAGTTACAGCACTTCACACGCAGCCTCCCGCACCCCCGCCGCAAGCATAGCTTCTGCCTCTGTGCCCGTGTTTGGCGCCTCGATTCACGGGGAAGCTCATTCATCTTTTCAGTTTTTAATATCCGTGATTTGCAGGTCTAATCGGGGAGAGTCTTCGACGCCTGCTTCGAATTGGCCTCTCTTGTTTTTTAAACATTTTTTTTTTTTACCGGGCCAAGCCTTACTGTTCGGGTGCCAAAAACTCCTAGTCTAACGGAGGGAAAAAACGCCCCCCAAAAAAACAAAAAGAGCCAAAAAACCTACAGTACCCTGCTGAGAGTTTGTTTAACTCGAGAGCAAGAGGGTTAAAAAAAAGAAGAGTTGACAGCACGCGCCATCGCACCGCAAAAACGCCCCAATCTATCCACCGCCTCGATTCTGCCTCCGCGCTACTCCTGCCTCTGACCTCATCATCCAGATTGGTCTCTTCTTCTCTCTGCCCGGTCTAGATCCCAAGAGCTCTGCAATTGTTTTGCGTTTCCCCCACATAAGTGGTAGCCTTTTGCTTCCCCCTCCCTCTGCACTGTCTGCGATATAATTCATCGTCATCATGGGGACGACTGTGACCAACATAACCGAGTCCAAGTCCCCTAAGCAATCACCCCCAACACGGCAAGGTAAGCCTTCTTCTCATCTTCCCCTTTGCGGTTCCTGCATCGTCATACCTTCTCCTTGCACTCGCTGCTCCTACACCTTCGTCATCGCTACCACCTGCCCGGACCAAGTGCGACCTACGTCGTCACCGAACTCAATTGTCTGTTGCCGCCCAGCATCACCATCACCATCACCATCACCGTCTTCACCTCTACCATCTCCTATCGGCGTCGTTGTCGTCATCGTCGCCGTCTGTTTCCACTGCCCATTGCCCATTGCCCATTGCAATTGACCCTACCCTTGCCACTACTACCCTTGCCGTCACCGTTACCTTCTTTGTCGCCGACCGTCGACTTACACATCATCTGCTTCAACAGGTTCCGTCGCCAGTGCCAAGATCGACTCCATTACCAAGTCGGACATTGCGTCTAATGCTCCGGCGACCAAGCCGCTTGCACCGCCGCCTCGACCAGGACAATCCCAACAAGGAACAAATACCCCCGAATACTTCGCGCCTCAGGTTACCGGAGGCTCCCTCAGCCTGGAGCCCAATCCGTTTGAACAGTCGTTTGGGGGAGGTGGCCCAGAAACGCCTGGAGGAACCAAACTGCCCAGCGTCGCTGCATTGACGTCTCCGTCTTCTCTGCTGCCCGGTAGCAACGCGACTCCCTTCAACTGGGGTGGAGGTTCTTTGCGGACCGGTCCGCTCAGCCCAGCAATGCTCTCAGGCCCTACCGACTACTTCGGCGACACGCATCACCTCCGTGGCGGCTTCCCCACGCCAAACGAGTCCTCCCTGCGCACCGGACTGACACCGGGCGGGAGCGGGTCCATGTTCCCGGCTCCAAGTCCCAACTCCGCCCTTTTCGCCCAGCTTGCCAGCGGCGGCGCCACTCCCAGCACCATCGACTTTCATCGAACTGCCCTGAGCGCTGCCGCAAAGCGTGAACAGGTCAACGGCCTGTCCCGAGCCCAACCATCGGCACCACAGCCCCAGCCCGTCACATCGCAACCCCAAGACATGACCTCTGTCCCTGTCATTCCCAAAGTCGAAGCCAAACCCGCATCCGGTCCGTTCGACCCCCACGATAACGACGCCGCCAACGGCCTTTATATGCTTGCTCAGGGGAGGAACGGAACTCAACCCACACCTCAGTTCACCGTGACATCGGCACCTACCGCGCACGCCCACCCAGCCCCAGTAATCCCACCAACTATGAACACGTCGCCCCCTATGGCCTCTATCAAAGTCGATCCGCGACGAGGCGTCAGTGAGATGAGCAACGGGTCGGACGAAAGCGACCAGAAGCCCCAAACACGAGCCAAGGGCAAGAAAGCTTCCACAGCCACCAACGGCAGGAGGAAAGCCGACGAGGCGCCTGCCAGGGCGCCACCTGCAAAGAAGGCCAAGGCGAACAGTGGTGCAGCAAGCAGCAACGGTGACGAGGATGAACATTCTGACGACGACATGGGTGGGTTTGATGACGCTGGAAATGGAAAGTCTAAGATGACAGACGAGGAGAAGCGCAAGAATTTCTTGGAGCGCAACCGGTACGTATTACATCTGGCTACTATCGATTCTTTATTCATCAACAGTATGCTAACTGAACCTGTTAGTGTTGCCGCTCTCAAATGTCGCCAGAGAAAGAAGCAATGGCTTGCAAACTTGCAGACCAAGGTTGAGATGTTTAGCAGTGAGAATGACGCCTTGACTCAACAGATTACTCAGCTGCGTGAGGAAGTTGTCAACCTGAAGACTCTTCTGCTTGCTCACAAAGACTGCCCCGTTACTCAGCAGCAAGGCCTTCATGGAGCTTTCATGTCACAGGTCGTTGAGCCTTTCAACCCTCAGATGAACCCTTATGGCATGGCAGCCCCGATGCCTGGCCAGCAAGTCATGGCTGGCCAAGGTATTCAGCGGCGTTTTTCTTAGGAGGATGCACTACCTGATGGGTGGCCGCGCAAACCGTCCGATTGAGAAAGAGGGGCTTTTCTACTTCTTTGTCTCTTCTTTTTTGACGTTCATCTTCTCCAAAAGAAGAGCGACAAGATGACCATTCTTGTCCTCAAGCGCATGGCATCATACATGCGGTCCACAGCGGAACGGAACGCATACAGTACACATTTCCCTTGTATAATAAAAGGGGGTCAAAGGCGAACGAATTGCTGGAGGGAAATTCATGTTTCGGCTGGGTTGCCGGACAGGCATTTCGAGGACGTGTCTTTTTTTTTTTATATTCTTATTTTTTTCCCGGCCCTCTTCCACACCCCTTGTGGTTGTAGGCAGTGCCTTGACCATTTTCCGGGTATACTCCACCCCCCGGATCTTCTCTTCACACTTCTCTCTTCCCCGGTATTACTTTACAATGTACGTAAATAGTGGCAAGGCAAGGTATACACACATGAAAAGGTGTTGGACTTGGAAGGAAATCCTGCAGAGTTTGAAGGCGTTTTGGGTGATATGGTACTCTTCAAGGGGGATGATGTACTTGGTGTTTTACGGTTTGAATTTCAGGTACTCTGTAGCTAGAGAAAAAAACGGAAGCTATATGATTACTTGGGTTTTACAGCTAGCTGGTCAATCATGGATGATTTGTATGCCGCGTGCTAGATTAATACAGTCAAGTCTGTTGACAGCGTTGAATGAAGAAGATGTCGTTGTTCAGTTGACAGCTCCATTAGCCAATCAGATGCCGCACTGCTGAGACCGAGGGGGTGGGGTAGTGCATGGCCCAAACCGGTTTAGCGCCCTGTCTTGGAAAACCATACCTCTTCGCTCATGGTCCCGAAAGTAAACACAGCCAGGCAAAGAAAGAACACTTTTGGCGGTCTCCCGACGAAACAGACTCGACTCCTCCGGCAAGAAGCGGCAGCGCATGCGCATCATCGATAAAAGGCCGAGCTCCTGCAAGGTTTCGAATCGCTCGACGGAATTTCTGCGTGCGATTGCGCCGCGGGCTTTGATGCGCTGGACGGGCGAAACGCGCGCAGGCATTTGACGCGACAAGGCTGAGAAAAGCTGGGCCTCTGTTGGGGGGGGGGGGGGGGGGGGGGGGGGGGGGGGGGGGGGGGGGGGGGGGGGGGGGGGG